GACACGAGACTGGGGCCCTCTCACTTAATAATTAAATAGTAGACAAATATTCTAACGTTCTTGAACAAAAGTAAGTATACAGGCTGTCCCAATACTCAACGTCAAGCGGGCACCGGGTGAGAGACCAACTCATACCTGTTCTGGTAAAAATAAGAAAAAAATTCTATGACTCTTAATTAAGTGGTAATAGATATATTTTTGAAAATGTTAAAAATCGTTCCCGTACATCATATCTTTAGGTACTACGGTCAGAAATGTTCGCAATTTTATAGTTATTTTTTTAATAATGTATTCCTCATGAACCATACTACTATAGCAGTCACAAATCGAACAACAAAAGTCGTTAGTTTTGCAAAAAAAAAAGTATTAGTTTGATTGAGTTAAGGTTGAAAGAATGTATGTCTATTAAGTTTGACACACGATTTCTAAACAAAGGAGTAGTACAACACCCTTGGCAAGTTATTTTAAAAGATGGCCTGTTTAGTCAAGATTTCAAAATGGTATAACACTTGCCATTTTTCTTTTCCTAAAAAATATTATTGCCTGTTTTTCTGCAAAAAACGCGTTATTTAAAAAATTCATACTTTCGTATGTTATTTATATTTCCTCCAAAATGATTTAACAACTTTGTTAGAAGATGTGGCACTCAATATCTACAGAGAAATGTGGTTTCAACAAGATGGTTGCTCAGCTCATTATGCTTGTCCTCTACGGGATTACATACAGAATACCCAGCAAGATGGATTGCGCGTCGTGGTTCGATTACGTGGCCTCCTCATTCTCTGGGTCTAAATCCCCTTGATTTTCTTATTAGGATTGCATAAAAGAAACAGTGTATTAAAAACCGATTGAAAATCTTGCCGAACTGCGCCACAATATTTATACAGCAGCAAAAGAAATAAATGCAAAGAGATTTGCACAACTAGTAAAAAGATCTTTTCTGTGACGATGCAGAGCTTGTATTAGTGCTAACGGCAAATAATTTGAGCATTTGCCTTAGTTTTAAGAAAATAATGCTATAAAATTAATAATAAATGAATTTGTTTGTTTAATTTTGTCTTTAGGTTAACCTTATTTGAAAGAGTCTTTTTGCAAGACATAAGGGCAACCATCTTGTTGAAACCACATTTTGTAGTTCGTAGATATTGACTGGCACATCTTTTAACAAAGTTAAGAGAAAATAAAAAGTAAATACAGATAACCTACAAAAGTATGAATTTTTTAAATAACGTGTTTTTTGCAGAAAAACAGGCCATAACATTTTTTATGACAAGAACAATGACAAGTGTTGTACCATTTTGGAAACTTGACTAAACAAGCCATCTTTTAAAATTACTTGCCAAGGGTGTTGTACTACTCCTTTTTTTAGAAATCGTGTGTCAAACTTGATAGACATAAATTCTTTCAACCTGAACTCAATCAAATTAATATATTTTTTTGCAAAACTAACGATTTTTGTTGTTTGATTTGTGACTTCTACAGTAGCATGGTTCACAAGGAATACATTATTTAAAAAATCAGTATTAAATTGCGAACATTTCTAACTGTAGTACCTAAAGATATGATGTATGGGACCGATTTTTAACATTTTCAAAAGTATGTCTATTACCACTTAACTAAGAGACATGGAATTTTTTTCTCATTTTTACCAGAACAGGTATGGGTTGGCCTCATGACCCGGCGCCCGCTTGACGTCGAGTTTCGGGACACCGGTATATTCTTGTCTTCTGTATATTTGTTTGATTCTTCTCAAACCACCCCTCTACAAAAATACTTTACGTCAGATGAAGGCCTACCCTATGATGTCGCACTATAGAGTTTGTGTAGGAAATCGATTATTTCTACAAAGCATGGCAGAGTGTGTCTACGACTCGGAGAAAACGGTCTAAAAACTGAAGTGATTTGTGCGAACATCGATGTAAAACTATAAATAATTGTATAATACTTTTTTTCCCAAGAACATTCCAATCGATTAAACTTTGCACTTTGCTAAGTTAAATGTTGGTCAATCAAACGGTGTACCATAAACCTATCGGCTTGCTGGTACTACCGTGATTTATACCCGTATGGTATAGATACGAAATATTACGTATTGGTATTGAAACATTGTTCAAAACTAAATTGGGTAGCTCAGGCAGGATTATTTAACAAAAACGAACTGTTTTTAGGCGGTCTAAAGAGGGTTTTAAAGAAAATGTGATCAAAGAGTTTCTATGAATACATGATGTAGATTTTCTATGGCTAAATAGTTGAGGACTAAAGAGTTATTGATATCGACTGGGTCCATCAGCTTTCGAGAAGAGTACGGTTCTGTTTGAAGCCATAAACATAGAACCGAATAGCAGGATGAAAATACATGAATACCTCTAAACTTCGCCACACTGAGCTAATCAGAGCTCTATAAAGTCCAACACTTTCCAGTCCGTGAACGATCCATCAAATCATTAGTAGTCACATCATCATCGACATGAAATATTCATTAGTATGTGTAATTAGTGTGTATTAGGAACCATTCCGCTCTAACGGATGTTAAGTTATGAGTATGATCTGTTCCGCATGCGGAAAGAGCTGAAATCGGTAAGTAACGCGCCTGTTACTCGTAGTAAATTCAGTAATAATATTAACTGTGAAATCTATTAAATCTACTGGATTTTGCAGTCTTATATAAATCGCATATGAAATAGGAACAACGAAAGATATTAAATTAAAATTTATTAAATGTAACAATAAATAATATTTGACTTTATTTCAATAGAACCATCCTTCTATTTTCACAATAAACATATGTGGCAAAAATTATACTTCTATTTATCATTCATATAACATTAGAATGAACATTGGGAGTGGTGAACAATAATGATTTCTAATTCCAAAGTTTATTTAAAAATCGGAAAATGAGACAGCATTTATGGATAAGTTACCTACTAATCTTTTTATTTCTCACATATGTAAAATTTAATTAATAAGACTCAAATATACCTAATTTGCTTTCCGATAATAGATCTTTGAATCATTCTAACACAGCAATTTTATTACTAACCCGTATTTTTTCTGAACTTTGTTTCGCATAGATAAAACTGTAAGTGTAAATTTTTTCAAGTACGACGTCAGTAAAGCGATGTTAACATCAGCTGACGTCGTGTTTAAACAAGTTCAACTTTGTGTTAGTGTTGGAAACAAATTACATTGAGAATTTATACAATAAAAATAAATTCGTCGTCCAAATATGTATTTATTTTTTAAAGAAATTATTTAATGAGATTGAAAGACACCGTCACAAAAGATTTTCACTTCATTTATTTGAATGGCAAAATCTCAAAACATTTCCAATTTTTCCACAACACACTAATATATATTATGTTATTAAGATACTTTGAAGATTGATCGTTGACCAGGTATTAACAAGTAGATGTCGACATAGAATTGATTATCGCTGACGCAACAAAACGTTCTTTTTTTAAATCGAAAGGGAAAACAACTGTCTATCGAAGAGATGTAAACGACATTAAATAAATCGTACCTGATTTATACATTTCGAGTCTCTTCCAGTTTACGAAAAGTAAAAAAAGAAAGATAACAAACCACCAACGTTTAAGTGTTCAAATATAAGCGAGTTAACTACTCGGACATATTTCGGTGCCAAGGTTTCGAAGAGATTTTTTCGTCACCGATACGTCACAAATAGGACGGAGGGTTATTTTTCCAAAGCAAAAAAAGAGGAAACGAATTTCGTTCTAATACAGTGATGATGGTATTGGTTAGATCTATTCTTTAAAAAAAGTTGTTTTGAAAAATGGATTTTAAAATGAAAATTTATTAATCTAAACAAAGCTCTCTTTGGTTTCTGGAATGCTTCAAAAATCTTTTTACGAGACGTTTCTATATCAATAAATTAAAAAAAATATACTACAATAAAAAATAATTACCTTTTAGATTATCTTGGCTTTTTTTGATTAAAACAATAAAATTTTGTGTTTTACCCTGGATATAACTGAACAATTCAATACGAACTGACCGAAAATAGATTGGTAACCAAATTTTATATGCAAAGCTGTAAAATGCAAGTTACATTGTTTCCAAAAATAAAATTGGGAACAAGACCGGTGTATAAAGTATAGATTTTAAACGCAGGTAAATTTTTTGAAAGGCACCATATTTATTTTACATACCAAAATAAATTAAGATAATCAAATCAAAAACTCAATCTTACCGTCTTATTATTACTAACCTTTCAGTTATAAAAACAAGTTTTTGTTTTGATCAAAATAAGGTAAAATAATAAGACTTTAAAGAAAATAAACTAAAATCATACTACAAATTTAATTCACGTTGCAACAAGATTTCGACACTCCAATGTTAAACATTTTGCAATTTAAAGCTTGATCTTTAATTCGTTTATTGCAGTATCATGTTTTACGAGACTCAAACCAAGCCAAATCGCTTAACGCTTTATCGACCAGAGAGATAAAATCCAATAGCATCTGTATATTTTCTTAAGATTAACTTTGAAGTTTATACATATTAACACATTCATTCCTTTTCAAAGAGTCTCCTTATAACGATTATCCAAGACTTTCAACAACTTTTAAAAAAATTCTGGGTAACAAAATAAAACTTAAAAAAATAAATCCGTCATTTTTATGAAATTAACTTGAGCAAGATTATTTGATTACAAAATTTAATATCCTTTGGAATAAAAAAGTACTAAAATTAAAAAAAAATACATTGGGAGGAATGTATCGTACATAAATAACGGCGTACGAAACTATTTGTTTATGGAACACCGTTGCTTATTGTTTGTACCATTAATGACGTCATGGTGCTGAAAGCGTGTCTTGAAACGTTTCAAAATCAGCTATCAATTCTCACTCAAACGATTCATTGTTGTATCATTGGTAATCCTAAGAATCGATTATTACACTTTCTTTTACTTATACACATAATTTAATTTACATAAAGCACAAATTATTAAAAAAAAAATTTGTTTTAACTTAACCTACCAGTTTCAGATCGATTACCGATGCTCATTTCTTTCAGCCCAGCTAAAAGATCCCTCTGATCCTGATGTTTTTTACTTAATCCTACCATATTTCGCAACGAATCGGGCACTTTTAGTGCTAAATTGTTCAAATTTAGTATCACTTCATGTCAGTAATCATTCAAATGAACCCGTTTCAGGTGACCTTTTCAGTAATAGACTTGTAGTCGAAGTGAACGCGAGTTTAATCTTTACGTTTCACGGTTTGGCTTCAGACTGATACTGAAATGGGCCGTCCGTTGCTATAGATACGGGCTCCCACACAGAGGCGTATTCAGAAAGTATTGAGTTGGAAAATCCAAAATCTATGAATTTCAGTGCTTAAAGGGGTGTCTAAGAATATATTGAGGTGTTCGAATGTAATAATAAACATGATTTTGATTTACCCATTTTATGAAATAATAATATAAAAAGTAGTTATAATAACAATATAGAAGAAAAATATAAAAGTTTTATTTGTATAAAATTTTTTGGCAATAATAAGAAATTACATCATATATAAAGAAATGGAAAACAAATAAATATTTCATCCGCACTGTATATGTAGAGTAAAATTTAATAAACACTAATAAAATATTTATGCCACAGTCACGATTGTAACTTTATTACGAAGTTAGAGTGAGTACATTGACTTCCGAAGACATTTATAGCGTAACGTTATATATCTTAGTCATTCGAAAAAAACCTGCTAACTCTTTATTTATTCTAAGAACAAGGTACGATCAAAGCTAGAAACCTTTTAGCTGTAAATAACCTCTATTAACAAAATGTGTAAATCAAGAATAACACAGTAATAAATTTACACCTGGACAACCCCTCATTTTATCGTTAACAAAGAAAATGTCTAGATAAGTTGTCGTACATATTGATCGTAGCCTATACGAAGTACGTTTATGACATATTCATAGTTTACCTGAATATGTCATCGAGATAAAACATACAACAGTAAGGAGTGACGTCATCAAAAGCTTTTCTGACATCTATTATCTCGTTGTTAATTTTGCATGTTTAATACATATAATAGATACAAAGTGTCAATATCAAACTATAGTAACGATAAAGTCGTTTCTTTTAGCAATATTAATTTAGTAGAGCTTCCTAGTATCTTTATGATTAGTTATGTATAGCATTATAAACAGAAACTTTAACCAGAAGCGTTTATTATAATAAACTGATAGTAATTTTATGGTGAGTTTCCGTTAATTAGGTAAGTGTTTTCCTTAGTTCTCAATATTTATTTTCTGCAGTCGTTGTAAGATTTATATAGTCGTGTTTATACAGCTGCCATCAAAACTGATTTTTTGGAAAGAGATTCATTCGTTAATTTGGTAATTTTGTACTATAAGCATCAATTCTTACACTTTAATTCTTAAATATTTGTTCGCTTTGCGTAATCACTCATGTGGGAACAACTATCCATCACAAAAAACGATTAAGGAGCCCTGAGAGGGCTAACGGTAGAAATCAAACAAACCTCAGTCACTATTGGCAACAAAACCACTAGAAATGGACAATCGATTCGAAACCTCATAGAAGAAGATGAAACTACAGAAACAAATAAAATCGCAAAACATAATTCAAATAATACACCTGCCATAATTAAGCCAACTCACGTAATGCAAATCGACCGAGGTTCAAGTGAGATATCGCACAACAATTGCATAGCCAGAGATTGTACATAACCTCTCAAGCCCTCATATTTCCACGCAGTTAACCCTCGTAACTTGAACACCCTCACCTACACTTTGATCTTAGCCATAGGTCGAGAAGCGATGAGCAACCTCACCTAAGATGTCTTAACCAACCCATTTGGCAGATAAGGTCAGGGCCAACAGAAAGCGGGATAAATGGTTTTCTGAAAAGAGAAAATAAAACACACAAGGCAAGGAAATAAGGATATGATGATTGGAACGTGGAATGTACAAATAATGATGCAGGTCGGAATGATGCAGATAATTGCGGATGAGATCGATAGATATAATGTAGATATAGTGGCGCTACAAGAAATAAAATGGAAGGGCAATGGCACGATCATAAAACCCACATACTATCTCTATTACAGTGGGGAGGAAACATCACGGAACGGCGTTTATGTTGAATCGATTAATAAAAACGCAATAATTGGTTTCGTTCCAGTAAATGACTGAATATGGAAGCTCAGGACGAAAGGAAAATTATTTAATACTATTAATTATTAGTACACAACAATTCAAAGCGAATGCGAAAAAGTTAAAAGAAACCGCAAGGGAACCGGGAATGTAGCAGGAAGTCAGCGCTGCAATCAAACAAATCATGTGTTTATAACAAAATGAAGCTATAACGGACGTTAGACCAGATGGGGGCCAATTTAATGTTAACATTGTATTTAAAAAAGACTTTAAGTTTAGGGGAGACCGGGCACGTTCGGACAGTGTGGTACCTAAGACACCAAAATTATTTATTGCATTTTGGAAACTTAGTTATTGCATTTGTAGTGCTTGAGTGGATCTTGCTGTTGTGGCAGTTTCAAAATGACATCAAACCTAGGGACCACTGACACGTTCAAGATATTCGGGAAAACAAAACCTGTATTCACTTTTTTCTCAAAAAGCTGACCTCATATTCATCAGATCGATCCTCAACAGCTAGGACTTTACTAATGTAATATTTGATGCTTTTTTTTGTAGGAAACTTAACCAAAATGTAATTATCGATCTCAATTATTATTTCAAACTCTAGTAAGCCTGGCACAACAGTTTCTTCATCTTCTAGGTCCATGTTCTCTAGATGGGATGAATCAGAAGAATATTTGCCTTTTTTTGTATTTGGAACCTCGATATCTGAATCAGATGAAGATGTATCATCTTGAATTTCCTTTTGCCATTTCTTTTCTTTACTTACTTTCTTTTCAGTGTTTAATTTTGACACCACCTTCTTTTTTTCTGATTTCTTACGTTTTGTTGGAAACACTTATCTTGTAGCATTTTTCTTAGCTTGTTTCATCATTTTCTCCCTTTCAATGTCCTCAATTCGTTCCAAATTTAGCGGCCAAATTCCTGTTTTAGCAAACGCTTTCACGATGTTTATAGGGGTAAATGATAACAAGTATGGTTCACGTGAAAGTTGAAGAATGTCATTTATTTTAATCGTTGTCCCAGGATTGATGCTTAAAAAGTCGTTGAATGATGACATCTAGGGGCGGCATTTAATGAGTGCAGTGCGGCGGAAATAGAAGTAGTTTAATACCGTTTTCTCTACAATATAAATAGTTGCAAGACTAATATGCGCCTCGTGGTTATCAACTATGAGAAATATTGGATTTTCGGCACTGCAGTTCTTATGCTTCTTGATATGTTCCAACACCTTTACAAAAATTTCAGCAGTCATAAACCCAGTCTTTGATCCAAAACACACGGAGCCTGGTGCTGAACCATACAGATATTCATCTTTTATTCTTACCCTGGGAAAGATGTAAATAGTAGGCAAGGAAACTCCAGAAGCCGCTATAATTCCGCAGAATGTTACTAATGTACCACGCTCCCCAGAAACCACCTGCCCAACCTGCTTCTTTCCGCTTTGTGCAATTACTTTAGGGGCCTGTAGAACAGTTGTTATTCCTGTTTTGTCACAGTTCAGAATCCGGTCTGGCATGAAGTTGTATTTCTCCATGTCAAAAAACTGTTTCACATTAGTTGGATTAAAAGCAATAGCTCTTGCGAGGCTAGTATTTTCAGGTTTTCGGTGGGATAACTCTTGGTTTCTTTTCATAAAAGCAGCTATCCAGTCTTCGCCTGCCATTTTGTTTGTATCCCACGAAGGAGGGTGTTTCCTTTTCCAGCTTGATTGCGTATTCGTAGGCTAAAACACGAGTGTTCTAGGTCTTGTGTAAGTTGTAATGATAGTGCTAGTGCAAAACTAGAACTAACACTAGACCTAGAACTAGATACTTTCAAGTTCTAGTGTTAGTTCTAGGTTTAGTTTAATAAAAATTTGCAACATAATGATATCTTATGCTAACTACGCTACTTACCACTGTCTCTAGAACTAACATTAGACCTAGAACTAGAAACATTCGGGCTTAGCCGCACGTCTATCAAGCCGGCTAAACCCGAATTATTCTAGTTCTAGGTCTTGTGTTAGTTGTAGTGATAGTGTTAGTTCTAGTTTTAGTTCAATAAAAATTTGCAACATAATGATATCTTATGCTAACTACGCTACTGTCTCTAGAACTAACAATACACCTAAAAGTAGAAACATTCAGGTTTAGCCGTTTTAAGAGACGCATGGCTAAACGGAATGTTTTTAGTTGTAAGTCTAGTGCTAGTGTTAGTCTAGTTTTATTCGTTATTCAGCGCTAGATAGTTATATATTTTTATTGAGCTATAACGGACACTCATAGACTTTTTTTTAGGACTGTATGTAGACTTTTTTAAGTTAAAGATATGATTATGTTTTGTGTTCTCCTTGATTAATAATAACTTATATAGCTTTTATGTAAAATATGGATATAATATGGACTTCTTACACGTTTTGTTAAAGAATTTCATTGAATTACATTTCGGGAGCTGAGATATTATCATTTTCCGGACTGTATGTAGACTTTATTGTATTGATAATCTTAGAAGCGTTAGTCATGCGAAAGAAGTTTTGAAAATCTTTTGGAGTAGATACGCAAACCTCATTCAACAAATTTATTTGTGAAAACGTGTCTCTATATAACTAGTATAACTACACAAGCTTTTTGACGATATGACATCTTTGAATGCCAACGTAAAACTAAGTAGATTGTCAATAAATATTGATAGTCTGAGGCAATTATAGTTTGTCAATATTTATTGGCCATATTGACAATATTTTATTGACAATATACAGGGTGTATCAGATATGAGTAGAAAAGATTTGAGGGGTTATAGGTCTCCTCTTTCTGAATAAAAAATACTCATAACACAATGTCCCATTCATTGTCCTTCTGGTAGGATACGATAAAGTTAAGGGTTTACAAGTTTGAGTACTACTGGTTAATGAATTATACTAAGCAGGCTTTGCTTTGCAATTTGTAATTTGTTTCTAGTTTTGTAATTTTGTTGTTTTTGATACAATAAGCAAGTTTATTTATTAAAACATCAATTTTTGTAAATTTTCACATTAAGAAGTGATAAATTTATTCGTATAAAGTAGACAACCTCTAAAAAAATATCTCAAAACTGACTTTTATGTGTCAAATTAAAGCTTAATATAATTCTTTATAAAGCAGTACTTAAACTTTCGAACCTTTAACTTTATCGTATCATATCTTAAGAATGGTAAAGAATGGAACATTGTGTTATAAGAATTTTTTATTCGGAAAGAGGAGACCTATAACCCCTCATATTTTTCTACTCATACCTGATACATCCTGTATATTGATCGTGTGAAGGGCGCTTTAGTAACATTTTATGGAACCAGTTCAAGTTGGTGGTCATTAATTTTTCTAGTTGTCAATGTGGCCATTTTTGTCTGTGGATGTTTAAACACGTTCTTAGCATCGAATACAAGGTCCACAATGATGAGAACATTGAACACTGAGCAATTTCTTTTATTTTGGGAGGTGTCCATAAAACATTTTTTTCAGGTGAACACATTTTGTGTTTTAACAATTTCTAATTGTCAATTCAAATTTCTATTTTCAAGTGTTCCGGTGTTACCAACTGCTACGTACCTATTTCCCTACGTTGTTAAGTTTATTTTATTTTTGTTAAAAAAAAGGATAAAAACGCGAATTACAAAAAATAGCATAAAAACACGTTTCATAAGACTTAAAGCATTCATTAATTAAAAAACTCGTGGCTTTGCCACTCGTTTTTAAACTTGGATTCGTTCATTTCAATCATGTCTTACGAAACTAGTTTTTTAATATGCTATTACAGCACCTTCTGCACGTATGAATGATTATTTGTATGTTACAACAATAATTCTATAAGGAATAATATATTAAAATGGAATTATATTTCTTTTAAAGACGATATTAAGCAAACTAGAGGCGGAAGTTGATAATGAGTGTGGCGATTTATCATAGTATATTTACCAACTCGTGGAACATGATGTTGATAAGCAGCAATCATGCATCATTACAGTGATCTTCATCTAAATAAAACAATTCACGTACTAACGTTATTGATTGCAACTTATCGTTATTAGAATTTAGTATTAAAAGCTTAAATTAAAACCTAAATCAACAAAATTAAAGAAATTCTCAACTTATTCAAGATTGTTTTATGAGTTTAAATCTCGTGACTCGTGCCATGATTTGAATCGACACGAAACTCAACATCGATTTAACAGTTTCACGAAACTTTCTTCCCCAATTTTTTTCCCTACCCAGAAACGTGTTTTTCTTTCAAACATCCAGGTTTAATCAATAAAACTTTCTTTAAACCCGAAATGAAAAAAGAATTCGTAATAATAATCGTAAGCTATATCAAAAACATTAAAACACCACACCAAGTAGGCTTTGAATTTCAATAACAAAAAACAAACATCGGCGCCAAAAGATTAAAACAAAATCGAAATTCAACACCACCTTTCCTTAAAATATAAAATCAACTTTGCAAAGTTTATAATGTAAATATTTGTTAATAAGAACAATTAATGTTTACTTACCAAATCCGGTGATGATATTTCCGTTCGAATTCTTCCGGTCAAAAAAGCGCAAACTTTCGTGTGGTGACAGTGACGCCATCTGGTATTTGAAAAAAATTAGAATTTTTGAAAAGTTTTCGTTTTTTCTTTCTAGAACGAATCTCGCCGTTCTCTCGTCGAGTCGTTATTGCTTGCATTTCTTGCGATTTTAAACGCGATCTGAGATATGACCACGTGTTGTATATTTAAAGGGCCCGACGATCGATTTCAGTGACCTACATTTTACAATGTTATTGATGAGCTAATGTCATTGATGTCATTTTTGTCCTCTTTGTATTAGCGGCGTGTAACATTTCAACGAACGTTGAAACATCTATTTTTAGATATTGAAAATTAATTACACTTTATAATAATTATTAAAATTATATAACAAATTTTTTAAACATTTTTAAATGTCAATTTTTAGACATTTAGATTTTTTTGTTTAGTTGTCATAGCAACACAAGATTGTCATTTAAACGTCAAATTAATTTCTAAAATATTGCTTAATTTAAAAATTTTATTGTTATTAATAAATTCTTATCATTACAATAAATTTCGTTTTTTTATTTACAAATAACAGAAAATGTATGCAACTTATTTAACATAACCTTAATTTTTTAGCGTCATCTACTTCGATATAGCCGTTTATAAGATTTTAAAAGTTTTCTCAAAATAACGCCGCAAACATAATTAAATCGTAAGTTTATCACTAAAATCATTCATATTATAATTATATAAATATCCACTTTTTTGAAACACTTTAAAACAACTTAATAAAACGAACTCTTTATTCTTAACCTCACTTTTTAAACCGCCTTTAGAGAATGTCTGACTTCTCAGATCTTCTTTTTGAAGCTGAGAAGCTCACGCAAGAAATAGAAGATGCCAGTGAACTTCCAAAAGTCGATAGATCTTTAAGACAAGTATTAGAAGCTTCAAATGAATTGTATAATAGAGTTGCACAAACTGGTGCTAAAGATATCCAAGCGTAATAAAATCATTTATAACTTTTTTAATTATATACTTAAATAACTTATTTTGTAGTAACCTGTTGTTGGGTTCAAAAGGGATTGATTTGCCAAGAATAGCTCAAAAACTTGATTTAATAAGTTCAAAACGAACGTTTGAAGCAGTCCAACCAGTAGATGATGTAGACATTACGGCTTGTTTAGAAAATGAAACAAGAAATTGTATTTTGAGTGTAATCAATGATGAGCATAAAAAGTGTTTTAATACTATATCAGAACAAGCATGGGAGCATCAAATGGGGGAGTGGAAACAAGAAAAGTTAAAGATTTTGAATGCAATGATTGGACCATCTGGAAATTTTATAACTTTGCCAAAGCAGCGAACTCTTTTTATGGAACCGGTTGTTGTGTCAAGTTTATTAGATAAAGAGGAGGCGATGTATGCTGCAAAAATTATGGAGTATAATATGGCTTTGATGAGAGAAGGGCGTAAACCAAATCCTGTTAGTTTATTTGCAAAAGCTGCTGAAGAGTTTAAAAATACGGTAATAAATTGATTTAAATTAAATTAACCCATTTAGTCCCACTCTGCTTTATATTAAAAAAAAATCGGTTTTTCATAATTTTCCTTAAGATGGAATGAAAAATATAAAAATGTACACAGGCGTTTGAAAAAAAATTTGTTTTTGAGATATGAGATGGTGCAAAAATTCACCACTAGTAAGATAAACGAACAACACAACAAAATTTTGATCATAATTTATTAACTAACAAGTACAGCCATAGAATGGACTAAAATAAGGTTTAAAATAAGGAGTTTTAGGGGTTGAAAGTTTGGGGAAAAAGTACATTTTTGCATATATTGCGAAATTATTGCAATATAAACTATCACCTTATTATAGCCCTTCAAATGAGCAAATATAAGGCGACATTGTACAAAACGCGTCATGTACTCCTTATATTCACGTTCTGTACAGGGTGTCCAAATTTCGATGGGTTTGCAGGATATCTCAGTTATTAGGAAAGATAAAAAGTTGCGGCTTTCGCGAACCTGAGCTACTTTTTTGTGAAACTTACAATGGCGCAAACCAAATTTTCATAGCCCTCTTCGTTTTTGATATACAGGGAGTGTATGAAATTTACGATTTTCAGACACCTCCTGTATCTCGGCTATCCGCAAACTTATTAAGAAAGTAAAAACGGGTTCTGATATATTTTTTCACGTGGAATCCAATGGTGCACGTAGAATTTTTCTAATCATCGCGGTTTTTGAGTTATAAACACAACTCAAATACTAAATACTAAGCTCTTTATAACTCAAAAATCGTGATGACCAGAAAAATTCTACGTGCACCATTGGATTCTACGTGAAAAAATCTATTAGAACCCGTTTTTACGTTTACAGATAGCCAAGATACAGGAGGTGTCTGAAAATCGTAAATTTTGAAACACTCCCTGTATATCAAAAACGAAGAGGGCAAAATTTGGTTTGCGCCATTGTAAGTTTCACAAAAACATAGTTCAGGTTCGCGAAAGAAGCAACTTTCTATCTTTCATAATAACTGAGATACCCTGCAAACCCATCGAAATTTGGACACCCTGTACACCGCCACCGTAACATATTCTCATTTTGCGGAGATTAACAAGGCTAAAAATCTGACAGATCTGTCAAATAGCTATTGAAGATTCACAGATATGTAGGTGAAAATACCAGCCTTTAATCACGTATAAAATCTGAATTTGCTAGAACTTAATACACGAATTAATAAATCATGTTTTAATGTATTCAATTAAACAACATGTATAACATGGAAAACTTATAGTCAATAATACATAGGAGTTCTGTACATGTGCAATAATACATGTGCACAAGCGAACGAGACAGCAGGCGGCGCCGACGCAGCTGACCGACGAGCGATAGATGTGATGCAAGGTCTATAGAACATAAGGTTACCCAATGCCGATTCTCCTCTTCTGAGGGGCAAGGTGGGTCAGTGACGTAGCTGGTCCTATGAACAACACAACACGATGCGAGGTTTAAATATTTTATATAGACTGTACCACAGTATAGGCCACCTATAGGCTATCTTTTACTCTGACTGTATCGAACCAGTGACGTCAATCTGCGGTGTAATAATCGATACTACAGAGGCATAGGGAATTAGGTAACCTTATGTTCTATAGACCTTGGATGTAATGCATCAGCAACTGCGTTATGACGCAAGTGAGTTTCGAGTTGATACATTGCGCTAACTCACTTAGGTGCGCCAGTATCAGTGTGTCAGCGCAGCAACATTTGCTGCGTTACACATGGTTAGTAAAGCCGACGTTACACGTCGCAATTGACTGCTATGGCGGCAACTACGGAGGAGCGTGGTTTAACTGTTCCCGTCAAAATTTGTGTGTAACATGTCTATTACCATAGTAATGACTGCTAGCAAAGCTACTGCGAACGCTACAAAATATTCTACTTTCGGTATACCTATCACGGAAATTTGACGATTAAACACGCCAATTTGACGCTAGCAGTCAAATCACGCCGAACCACACCCCTCCGTAGTTACTGTCATAGCAGTCGATTGCGACGTGTAACGTCGGCTTTAATCTGTAACTACTTTTCATAAGAATGATGTGATAAAACTGTCAGGTATTTTGAAAATATTTTAAACAAAACCGTAAATTATAAATTTTTAATGTAAAGTAAGGCATGTACGACATTTGGGGGTAGTGGGGGTTAACTACTTCCTTAAGAATTAATTCTATTCTAGGCGTTACTTGTCGAGTTTGCCGAAATATGTCACGGTATTTGTTTTATATGTGAAGTAAAAATGTTTGAAAACGGTTATAAGGGCTGGAAGTTAGGGGAATAGGAAAATATAAAACTTATAGATAAATAAGTTATTTTATTTTTTTATGAGTTGAAAACCAAGTAACTAAAGAAATGTTAGAAAAGTTCTTATGCTGAATGTTTAACCACTTAATGGTACGGTTTTTCTATAAGATATGATATATAGGTCGAGCGAGAGGGCGAAAATGGTTTAAACATTAGGATTGACACCATGTACATGTTATATCTCATGTTTTCTTTTCACTCGAAAAGCAAACTTTCACCGGATTTTCAAAATGATCGGGTCTCTCATCTAGATATCCACTTGCAAATCATGCGTATTTAAAAGCATTTGTAAACCTAGGTGAAGACAATTGGTTATGCGTTAGGAACTACAACTTTAATATATTATCCCTCTGATGTAAATTGAAATCATACTGGTAAAAAATAACTTGGTCAGAGAATCTTCTAATAAAATTTTTCCATATCCTGAAACCAAATCCATCTAAGGGCTGTATTTGACCGGTTGTTCTTACATATATGGATAGGTGTTTAAAATTATTGTCTAATGGAGTTACTTTACTAATAACTTCAGGACAATGGTCAACCCAAGAATCAAATATTAATAATGATTTGGAACCAGTATTTGGAAAATATACATTTTGTGGCCTATTTGTCTTATGTGCTGAAGTTAATTTTTTAGATTTTGATGCCAAAACGTAAATATTATCGGCTTAAACATTGTATTTGCTACCCTCAGTCCAAAGGTGTCAGAGGTTTCTTTTAAAACAACTAAAAGTAGGGAAACAAGTTTTCCATCAGCAGATATTATGGGTTGATTGGGTTGATTATTATGGGTTTATTCTTGGAGTGGCCACTGCCCTGAAATTATTAGTGAAATAACTCCATTGAATGTTACGTTTAAACATTTGTCTATAACTGGTTAAGGTAGTTAACCCCAGCCACCCTTAAATGTCGTATAGGGCTTATTTTATTGCATAAATCTTAATTTGCAACTAATTTATGATTTTCTTCAAAATATTGTTCAACAACGTAACAGATTATCACATTATACTTAAGGAAAGTGATTATCTATTAGGTTAAAAGGNTGTTATATCACATGTTTTCTTTTCACTCGAAAAGCAAACTTTCACCGGATTTTCAAAATGATCGGGTCTCTCATCTAGATATCCACTTGCAAATCATTTAAAAGCATTTGTAAACCTAGGTGAAGACAATTGGTTATGCGTTAGGGACTATCTTTAATATATCCCTCTGATGTAAATTGAAATCATACTGGTAAAAAATAACTGGTCAGAGAATCTTCTAATAAAATTTTTCCATATCCTGAAACCAAATCCATCAACAATACAGGTCAAATAAAAAAAAAGGAACAACCGGTCAAATACAGCCCCTAGTATTTGACCGGTTGTTCCTACAGTTATGGATAGGTGTTTAAAATTAGTGTCTAATAGAGTTACTTTACTAATAACTTTAGGACAATGGTCAACCCAAGAATCAAATAATAATAATGATTTGGAACCAGTATTTGGAAAATATACAGTTAATTTTTCAGATTTTGATGCCAAAACGTGAATATTATCGGCTTAAACATTGTATTTGGTACCCTCAGTCCAAAGGTGTCAGAGGTTTCTTTTAAAACAACTAAAAGTAGGGAAAGAAGTTTTCCATCAGCAGATATTATGGGTTGAATAGTATAACTATGCTAAATCGCTTAATGTTCTTCCCGAGTGGATCTCTAACAAAGGAAGTGTCGGAACTGTCTCTCACCGATTTTATTGCAATTTGGTACAGCTATAGTATGGCCAAAAATAAGGTTTACGTATTTTTTTATACGTGCTAATAAAGCTCCTGGGGCGAGTTATAAGGGTTGGAAATCGGGGCGAGTTATAAGGGTTGGAAATCGGGGCGAACGATATACAGGGTGATTCATATAAGAACCGACACAGAGCAGGGACATGTAGAGTACTAATAAATTTAACGCAATTTATCTCTATACCAAGTTGTACCCTTGACGAGTTATAGGCCTTCAAAGTTGGGTCTTAAATTTTTAAAACATTCAATATCTTCGTAATACATTAAGCTAAAAAAACCAAATTTGGTATACGTTATGAGTGTGTCAAGGGTATTAATTGGTAGCAAATTGAACTCATAAAAGGGATGAAATTCTCCATATTTCTCAAGAATTAAATAATAAAAATGGAAAAAGTAAAAACTTTTTGTGAGAAATAACAAAATACTTAATTTATTTCAATAAATAGACATGTTTCGAAACAAATGTTTCATCTTCAGTACTTAAAAATAATTACAAAATGACGGAACTATTTTTTTAGGAATAGGTCTGAATTCTAGTTATTTTTCTTAAAAACAAAATACTTCTAAAAAACTTTTTTTACAAATCAAAGTAAATCCTTAAATTTCTTGGAAATTAACTGATTTTGATGAAATTTGGTACAGCGATAGTATGGCCAAAAATAAGGTTTACGTATTTTTTTATACGTGCTAATAAAGCCCCTGGGGCGAGTTATAAGGGTTGGAAATCGGGGCGAAATATATATATTCGCTTATAGGCTGAAGACGAAAGTAGCTATCGAAATGTGACTGCCCTGAAATTAGTGAAATAACTCCATTGAATGTTACGTTTAAACATTTGTCTATAACTGGTTAGGGTAGTTAACCCCAGCCACCCCTAAATGTCGTATAGGGCTTATTTTACTGCGTAAATCTTAATTTCCAACTAATTTATGATTTTCTTCAAAATATTGTTCAACAACGTAACAGATTATCACATTATACTTAAGGAAAGTGATTATCTATTAGGTTAAAAGGGGCAAATAATAGGAAAGATGATGTAATCCTTATATTTCATCATACATCGTCCTAGTGGTGTTTTTCAAATTCAATTCAAATTTTTATTTTGCGTTTCAAGATATACATGAGAAAAGTATGCACTAAAAACTTTCAAATGCCAAAATTTTAAAGAATTTTATCCTCCAAAAATAGTTTTATTTCCATTGTATATTTTGAACAGAAATTTTCAATAGAAAAGAATTGATGTATATACGGTTTAAATAGCAAAAATGATGAAATATTTTGCCATGTATAGCCTAACAACCTTATAGTGTTATTGTACAAACAGCTAGCACCATCAAATCTGGAAATATATGGCTATAAAATAATTTTTAAAATGCTGGTGCGTTTTCACAGCAGTGGGAGTAAATGGGTTAAATAAATAATTTTTGGAAAAATTCAAGAATCATCATATCGACGATTATCAATATAAGATAATCAATGTGAAATGACCCATAAAACACGTTAAAAATAAAAAGAAAGTATGGAAAAGTGTAGAACATACCGAAAAATCACATTAAAATTTCGATGTGACGTCACAAGGAATGTTCACCATGCATTTTCCGATTAAAACGGTCAACACCTAACCTACGAATTGTTTATTTTATAGCCGGGTTATGGTTTTAAACTAGGTGACATTACAACGTATATTTACAGATAAAACACCTTGTTTTTCTTAGGCTTTCGATGCATAATGACTGACTACCTGTTGTTAGATAGACTGTGTGTCAATAGACTCTGTGCTAATACTAGAACTAATAGTAGACCGAAAACTAGAAACATTCGGGTTTAGTCGCACGTCTTTCAAAACTGCTAAACCCGAATGATTCTAGTTCTAGGTCTTGATATCTTATGCTAACTAGCGCTACCAATCTAATAAAAAACTAAATACATTTAAAACTAGAACTGACACTAGAACTAGCAACATTCGGGTTTAGCCGCACGTCCGGATTAAAACAACATATTTTAAGATACCACAATGACGAGTACAGGCAAGTCTTAAAACGACAATCGGAAATAGAGGAAAACAAATCAAAGAAAAAACGTGAGCATGAAGAGTCATTTACAAGTAACAATTCACAGTTCACTGTGCTATCAATCTTACCTGACATAATGACGAAAGGTGCACAGATAGACGGATGATAGCTATCATGGATGTTATATTGGTTGATATGCTGCCGTATTCTCAATTTTACGTCTCAATTTTGGCGATCCTAGCGCTATTCACAAATATAATTTAAAAAGTGAAAAATATTTTAGAACGTCGGTAATGCCAAACACGTATGACAAAGTAAAGACCAAGGTCATGAATTTGGTTGATAAATGTGCATGGATAAGTTATAAAGCATGGATAATTTTATTAAGCTTTACAGGACATTTTATCACAAAGATTGAAAGTGAAATTGGACGCAACAATATTAGATGAAATATTAGAGAAATTTTGAACGACTGGAATATTAGCAAGAAGCTGTTTCTAATTATTCGTGATAATACAGCCTATATGGTATGTGCTATGAGAACGCAATATCAATCCCTAGGCTGTATGGCGTATACTCTGCAATTAGTCATAAAAGATGTTTTGTTTGAAAATGAGCGGAACAAAATTTTAGTATGTAACTGGAGAAAAAGTGTAAGCCATTTTCATCGAAGCAAGCAGGCATCCAGAAAATTGACCGATTGTCAAAGTCAGTGTGGACTTCTGATTCATTGTTTGCTGCAAGACATAGAAATCAGGTGGAATAGCACCTACTTAATACTGCAGCGACTTGTAGAGCAAAAAAGAGCAATAAATCTCTCTAGCACGGAGATACCTCCATAGACCTACACTCTCCTGCACTGACTGGAAACATTTTAAAAATTTAATAAAGTGCTAAAATATTTTTATGAGGCTACACTCGACATATCCTCTGATAGTGCCTGTATTTCGATTATTATACCATTATTAGCTGTACTAAACAATAAACTACAACTTCAAGACGAAAATGAAGACATTACTGAAGTAAAAAGAAAACTATATGAATTTTTAAATAAACAATTTGATTATGCGAAAGGAAATTCTTTTCTTATATCATCTACGTTACTCGACCCAAGTATTAAATCCAAATACTTGGTTTCTGCGGATGTAGATATTGCAATGGCCGAAATGAAAAACTTTTTGAACCGCAAAAAGGAAAAAACACCCGAATGAAGAGCTTGATTTATATTCTAAACTCTGCACTAGTCACCCAGGAAAGGAAGGCAGTTTATTTGAAACGCATGACAACACACATGATCACGACAGGAAAAAGGAAAAGTTTCAGTTTCGGCCGAAACTACGACCGTGACCAAATTTCGGTTTCGGCTCAAAATTAATTTTCGGTAAGACACTAGCTTCTAGGTCTTCAGACGCACGGCTAACCCAACCTGGAATTTACAACCCACCCTCTGCTCCATGCCCAACCCGACATTTGAGAAATTCGCACTGGTTTAAATGTTAATTAACCTAACGCAAAGTGGAATTTCTACACAAAATTCTGAAATAAATCAGTAAATTAGGTGGATCCGAATGTAACGTTTAAAGAGGGAGGTAAGGCATCAGGTATACATAGCTTTTAAGTTAGCTGTAGTTTAGATGGTAAACAACTATATTTTAGTCGTTGTGCATCGAAANATTGTTAGATAGACTGTGTGTCAATAGACTCTGTGCTAATACTAGAACTAATAGTAGACCGAAAACTAGAAACATTCGGGTTTAGTCGCACGTCTTTCAAAACGGCTAAACCCGAATGATTCTAGTTCTAGATCTTGTGTTAGTTCTAGTGCTAGTGTAAAACTAGACCTAGAACTGGAAAGTATCGGGTTTAGCCGTACGTCTCTCAAGACGGCTAAACCCAAATGTTTGTAGTTCTAGATCTAGTGTTAGTTCTAGTTTTAGTGCCATAAAAAAATGCAACATAGTGATATCTAATGCTAACTAGCGCTACCTACCACTGTCACTAGCACTAACATTAAACCTAGAACTAGAAACATTCAGGTTTAGCTCTAGGTCTTATGTTAGTTCTAGTTATAGTGCTGGTGTAAAACTAGAACTAATACTAGAAAGTATCGGGTTTACCCGTCTTCAGACGCAAATTCCAGGCTTACCCAACCTGGAATTTACAACCCACCCTCTGCTCCATGCCCAACCCGACATTTAAGAAATTCGCACTGGTTTAAATGTTAATTAGCCTAACTCAAAGTGGTATTTCTACACAAAATTCTGAAATAAATCAGTAAATTAGGTGGATCCGAATGTAACGTTTAAAGAGGGAGGTAAGGCATCAGGTATACATAGCTTTTAAGTTAACTGTAGTTTAGATGGTAAACAACTACATTTTAGTCGTTGTGCATCGAAAACCTTCGANATTTCTACACAAAATTCTGAAATAAATCAGTAAATTAGGTGGATCCGAATGTAACGTTTAAAGAGGGAGGTAAGGCATCAGGTATACATAGCTTTTAAGTTAACTGTAGTTTAGATGGTAAACAACTACATTTTAGTCGTTGTGCATCGAAAACTTAAGAAATAACCGTATTTCACGCGAAAATATGCGTTTTAACCAAATGTGGTATAAAAATATATGGTTACCACGGTCGATGACGTCACAAAAAGTGACGTCACGCCGAAACTTTAAAGTGATTTTTTGAGTTTTGCACTTTTCCACACTTTTTTTTATTTGTAACGGCTTACTTGAGTGATTTCCTGTCGATTAAAAAAAGAATTGTCGATTTTTAAGCGACATGATGATTGAATTATACCTAATTTTTTTAGAAAGTTAATGATATGTGGGAAATTGTGCGATACATGGTTGAAATGCCTGCATTTCCTAAAGAAAGTGATCCCGTTGCAAGTAGAAATACAGATGCTGTTGTGTTAATGTTAGCAAGTCAAGGAAGAAGATATCTTGAATATAGGTTAATTTTTAAATAATAAAAAAAATCTTAATTATAAATTATTTTTCACAATTTAGATATAAAACTTACATGAACAACATAATAAACGAAAATTTATTACGAGCTCAAAGAGGTGGAATTCCCGGAACATATCCTTTAGTTAAAAGTTTCGTTGGTGTACGATTTCAAGGTGATTATTTAGGCCTTCAAGATGGTTATATAGAAGAAAGACCCTTTTGGCCTGTCGTCTACTACTGCTTAAGAGCCGGAGATTTATCCGCAACATTACACTGCCTTAAAAAATCGACTGTTGAATGTCAAGATTTAATTGGATTATTGGAAATGAGACTTTCAAAAGGTCCAACCAACGAAATTGAAAAGTTAGAAAACAACATTCGTTTTCAATATCGAAGATTTGTTAGAAACGCGACTGATCCATTTAAAAGAATTGTTTGGTCTGTTTTGGGTTGTTGCGATGTTAGCGACGAGCACTCAGAAGTTGCAAAAACCGCTGATGATTATTTATGGTTAAAATTAAGTTTGGTTAGGGCTGGATATGATAGAGAAGACCATATCGATTATAATGATTTACAAAGGACTATTATCGATGATTATGGAGAAGCTCATTATGATGCTTTAAATCAACCCCATTTATATTTTCAAGTCTTAATGTTAACAGGACAATTCGAAGCTGCCATTGAATTTTTAGCAAGAATCGAACGTTATAAAGTACATGCTGTTCATATGGCTATTGCTTTAAACGAAATTTATTTATTGGCTGGTCCAAGTGATTATTCATCACCTTTACGTAAATAAATTAAATACTTTTAAATTATTTATTTTAATTATTTGTTTTTAGTTTTTATTGATCCAGCAGATCCAAAACCAAGTCGTCGAATAAATATAGTTCGTTTAATCATGGTTTATGTTCGTAAATTTGAGGTGACTGCGATAGAAGAAGCGTTACACTATTTTTATTTGTTAAATAGAGTTAAAAATCAAGATGATAAAAACATGTATATGGTTTGTGTAAGCGATTTAGTTCAAGAAACGCGCGAATTTGAAAGAATGTTTGGGAAAATCCAACCTAATGGAATTAGAACGAAAGGTTTACTCGATCAATTTCCTAATTGTGAAGCTACACCAGAAATTATTGCCGATTATGTTGCTGGGGAACTCGTTCATAAAGGTTTATTTGAGGATGCTGTTGATATGTATGATATTGCAAATGTAAGTATGATTCTATTAATTTTATATCTAAAAATAGTATGATAATTTTCTGATACAATAATTAAGAAATGAATTGAGGTGTTTCTTATCATAACTTTTTTCTGTTAGTTTAACAGAAAATTAATGTTAGTTATTAGATAATACCAGAGAGTGATTAAATTTATTTTGTGGTCTTATTCGTGTTGCCAGGATTTAGTTCAACTTTATATCACGTGGCTTTAGAAAACATTTATATAGAATCAAAAGAAGTGTTTGATATATTAAAGAAAAAAGCAATACAAGAGAAAATTAAATATGGTGAAAATGCAAATTTATCTACAGAAATTACTGTGTCTTTAACTGGAAACACACCGGTAAAATAATCAATCTTATAGAAAAATCTGGAACTGAAGAACATAATATTTGGATTGATAAACATAGAGAGGTCATTAGAGGTTTATCGAGGATAGAAAATGAACTTAGTGATGAATTTACAAGGGCGGGATTAAATATGTTTAGAGTAACTAAGAAAAAGGGACATACCTGATGCATGGACTTCGTTGTTTCATAGTCGACTAAAGTTATCCAGAGCATTTATAGAAACAGCGTGAACCGTGTGATAAAGCAAAATGCACAATTGGAAAACTTGATGACCAGAGAATGCTTGACACAAGGAGGAGCCACAAGAGAAACGCCGCAAGGGGTCGGAACAGGAGTATACTGCCAGACACCTCGGGTTAAGCAAGCTTAATCCAGGTGGAAGTATTTGCTATTGGCAGTACAGAGAACATGACAGTACGATTTTTCTCAGACAGTCAAGCCGCTCTCCTGGCGCTGCAGGCCGTGAAAACCGTGTTGGCTCTGGTTAATGACTAAAAGAACGTTAAACACACTGAGTTGTGATAACAGAGTTTCTCTATTCTAGATCCCAGGTCACTCTGGGGCTGCTGGCACTGAAGCGGCAGATGAGCTAGCACGATATGGCAGCGTTAAAGCGTTTGTAGGGCCAGAACCAGCAATTGGTGTATCATTTGCTATGGCCAAACATAGGATTGGACTGTGGACTGAAGAGAGACTTCACCTACTGTGGATCAGTTCTCCTGGAATGAGATATGGTAAGGTGTTTATTAACATCGACACTGTCAAACCCGGGAATATTTTAGGACTTGCTCATAGCAGCATTAAAATTCTAATGGGTGTCTTCACTGGGTACTGTCGATTAAAAATACACCTCAAATACACCTGTTGTGTCTAGCCGACGATATGTGCAGAGGATGAGGAGCTGGTTGAGCATGATTTATGCCACTGCCCTGCTGTTAATTGTATCAGATTCTCGATTTTTGGGTCGCACTTTATCTTCCCAACGGACCTGAATGATTTTTCACCGATCAAAGTCTTAAGGTTCATTAAGAGCATTGGACTGCACGGTGAAATTTGATAACGTTATCTACTGGCTACAATAGATCCTAACCCGAGGGCCACGAGCTGCGACGCTCCTAGCGAATTTGCTTTGCGCTACAAGCGTCAGCGTTGAGCGTCAAAAACAAATGTAGTCTATATCTACAAGACCACAAAGTATCGCTGCAAGTAGCAGCGAATTTCCCTATGACGTCTGCAACGACTTGACGCTTATAGTGTCTTGACGCTTATAGTGTCTTGACGCTTATAGTGTCTTGACGCTTATAGTGTCTTGACGCTTGCGGCGATATTTTCGTGGCCAGGGTATTAGCGTCGCGGTGCAAGGTTGGTTGGTCCACCTACCCGTTATGTAATCTATGTAATGTATAAGTGCGTTCCTGTTTACAGTGTTAATGCAACCATTAACAATCCATTAATACACTGAATGTCACAGCAGAACAAGCTATGGTTTAAGGTTGGGTTATAAGAAATGTAAGAACAATAGAGACTTTGGAGAATACATTTACAGATGATATGATTATTATAGGGAATAAAGTTGATCTTCAGAGAGGGACAAAAGCGAGATCTGAGAAACTGAGTAGAGAACATTTTGAAGTGTGATACTACACATTTGAGTTGGTGGAGGACATCTAGTGAGACTAAAGATAAACGGCAAGTAAAACAAGTTTTGGACGGCATAGATACAGATGAGGAGAGCATTTAAAACACGATTTTAAACATGAAGAAAAATGAAAATAAAGATATTCTTTATATAAAAACTGGTAAACCAGGCAACTAAGAACTAACCATGTGTAACGCAGCAAGTATCAACGAAGTGAGTTAGCGCAATGTATCAACTCAATTGCGCCATAACACAGTTGCTGGATGCATCACATCTATCTTTCGCCGGTCAATTACGTCGGTACCGCCTGCTGTCTCGTTCCAAGTTCTAGCAAATGAAGGTTTTATACGTGATTAAGGGCTGGAATTTTCACTTACATACATATTTGTAAATCTTCAAGCCACACCGGCGTGCTTTACTACGCCAGCGGTGGCGCAATTGAGTTAACTCATTTTAAAGTTGGGTATCAGCGCACGTAACACACTGTACTGAGTTCACTCAATTGCGCCGCGCAGCGCAGTGTTACACATTTCTACTAAGAACTAAGACAGACATAAACAATACTCAGGAATTGTAAAGTTTATACAGGGTGATTCAAAAAACCGCTGATAGACTTCTACGACAGTAATACATCAAAAATTAAGATGGAAAGTCTTAATATACATGGGGTCGCAAATGCCTCCTTAACGAGATATAGCGAGTCAAAGTTTCTTTAAAATCACCATTTATCTGCAATAAAAAGCCCTTTTTTAAAAATATTTTCAACGCCACTGCTAATTTTGTCAAACGGGCATTATTTTCGTGTAAAGTGATCAATTATCTATCAATTGGTCTCTTACAAAACTTTGATTAAANATTGTATCAGATTCTCGATTTTTGGGTCGCACTTTATCTTCCCAACGGACCTGAATGATTTTTCACCGATCAAAGTCTTAAGGTTCATTAAGAGCAACGTTATCTACTGGCTACAATAGATCCTAACCCGAGCGCCACGAGCTGCGACGCTCCTAGCGAATTTGCTTTGCGCTGCAAGCGTCAGCGTCGAGCGTCAAAAACAAATGTATGAGTCTATATCTACAAGACCACAAAGTAGCGCTGCAAGTAGCAGCGAATTTCCCTATGATGCCTGTAACGACATGACGCTTATAGCGTCTTGACGCTTGCGGCGATATTTTCGTGGCCAGGGCATTACGGTCGCGGTGCAAGGTTGGTTGGTCCGCCTCTAAGTATTGACAATATTATTGAACTTGCGAGTAGAAAGATTGACATATTGTCAATATTAAAAATATTGATGGGATGGTTTGACGAAAACGAAAATATTTGATATATTGACAAAATAAATATTGACAGTCTGAGGGAGATATTGACAACTCTACGTTAGTAGGATTATATTACGGATTATATCGCGTAATAATCAATTCAGACAGATATACTTTAATGGCCGAAAGTGTTATTAACTCCCTGATGGTTCATTAACACATGTAAACATGACATGACATCTTTAACTGCCAACGCAAAACTAAGTAGATTGTCAATAAATATTGATAGTCTGAGGCAATTACAGTTTGTCAATTGGCCATATTGACAATATTTTATTGACAATATATATTGATCGTGTGAAGGGCGCTTTAAGAGAATAAATAGGAAGAAAACTAACGTGATGGCGATTAACGGAAGAGGAGAAGATTCGAGGAATAACCTGAAAATCGAAATTGAGAACGAAGTGTTAGAGCAGGTTGAACACTACAAGCATTGGGAAGTTACAATCGATGAAAACAGGAGAAGGATATAAACGAAAGAATAGATATATTATTAAAGTATACTTTGCACTGACGAAAAGTTTTATTGGGAAAAAGCAGTATAAAGCAGTATACAACAGACCATTATTGACATATGAAAGCGAGTCATGGATACTTACAGAGAGGGACAAAAGCGAGATCTGAGAGACTGAGTAGAGAACATTTTGAAGTGTGAGAGTACACATTTGAGTTGGTGGGGGACATCTAGTGAGACTAAAGAAGAACGGCAAGTAAAACAAGTTTTGGACGGCATTTAAAACACGATTTTAAACATGAAGAAAAATGAAAATAAACATATTCTTTATATAAAAACTGTAACAACTAAGAACTAAGACAGACATAAACAATACTCAGGAATTGTAAACTTTATACAGGGTGATTCAAAAAACCGCTGATAGACTTCTACGACAGGTAATACATCAAAAATTAAGATGAAAAGTCTTAATATACATGGGGTCGCAAATGCCTCCTTAACGAGATATAGCGAGTCAAAGTTTCTTTAAAATTAACATTTATCTGCAATAAAAAGCCCTTTTTTAAAAATATTTTCAACGCCACTGCTAATTTTGTCAAACGGGCAGTATTTTCGTGTAAAGTGATCAATTATCTATCAATTGGTCTCTTACAAAACTTTGATTAAAGCAACAGTTTCTGATTGAATTAACAAATTTTCTACAAACGTGTTTTTCTTAAAAACTATTGCTTTGATCAAAGTACATAACTTTGAATCACCCTACCCGTATAAAAACACTAATATGCTGTTTTTTTCTACTCATCATTTGTTGTACACATTGGAGTGGACGAGACCAAATGTTGTGGAGACCCCTCTCTATTGAAGCTGAAGAACAAACAACACATAAAGATTGTTTAAAGTTTCCAGAACTTTCTCAATATCAAGAAGGTTTTTTTTTGTGAAATCCACCACTGCAAAGCAATAACAATGGATATAACTTCCTTGGAGAATATAACTGCATAAAATGGCTCAATTTTCACCTCTAACTTAACTATTAGTGCTATCTACGTAAATCTACGAACTTTGAATGAGCAATTATATGATCGAAATCTTCGTGCTGAGCTTGCTAGACGTACCGAGCTCGGAGAAAATGATCTCTACATCAAGTATGTGAATAGCATACCAGTTATAAGCAAATCAGCAAGCAGTCAGAAAAACTGAATGCTACCCAACAGAGCCTGTATCAACTTTATTATCAAAATGTTCGTGGACTTAATACCAAACTGATAGATTTTGTAAGCTCCGTTTGTGCTTCTGATTTTTGTATTATCGCATTGTCTGAGACGTGGTTGAGAGATACTGTTCCTGATTATGAAATGTTGCCTAATCTTTACACAATGTTTACAGCATATCGCAGCGAACGTCGTGGAAGTAGTGTATTGCTGGCGGTTGACTCGAGGATCACTGATGTGTTATGTCTTAACTTATCTTCTCCAGTCGATACCATTGATCTTGTTTCTGCCAAGATTCGCTTTAAGACTTCAGGTTACTGTTTGAAATTGGTTCTTTGCTACTTAAGCTTCTCCTGTCTTATCTGGAAACTGTTCTTCTTGGTGATTTTAATATCCGAAAATATCCCGATCCATGCTGTGATTTTAGTTGTTTACTTGATAACATCGCTAGTTAGAACAATCTAGATCAATTTAATCATGTCACACACAATATGAACCGCACACTCGATTTGGTGCTTGTTTTTTCAGATGTACAACTAGACGTATTTAAGTCGTTATTTAGACTTGTCAGCAGCGACAGTTACCATCCTGCACTTGCGATGGACATGACTATGCCTTCTCAGCATGTTGGTCGTTATCAAATTCGTGAAGATTCTAGCAATGCATTTCGACGAGCTAACTTTGTTGAGCTGTATTCAGCGGTTTCGAGGGTTGATTGGAGTGAATTATTAACACTGCATTCAGTCAATCTATGTTGTGAGCATTATTACAGAGTTCTTTGTGAATTACTGGATGAGTACATCCCTAAGAAACGTGGTAGAACAATTGAATTTAAACATCCAACAAGGTCTGAGGCGCTTGTTCAGTAAGAAAAAACATCATAAAGTGTATAGAAAAACTAAATCACAATTTCACCGTCAAATATACTCCCGTTATAGACGTGAATGTAAATTGCGTCTCCGCCTGGACCGTCAAACGTATGTCGCTACTGTGGAAAGAGATGTAAATGCCGATCCAGAAAAGTTTTGGACGTTTTTAAATTCATCACGCAAAAATCATTACCTTCCCATTACATTATCGAATGGCGATACTATACTGACCTTTACCAAAGACATTGTAGATCTATTTGCTTCTCATTTTGCTAGTTCTTACAATTTACCGGGAATGTTATTATGAATTCCGAAAGTTTTGATGATGCAATCACCTTTGGAATCTCTTCAAACACCTCTGCGCCATACTTTCAATTTGATTATCAAGGCATCATACTTTCCGCCGGTCTGGAAGCAGAGCAGAATTTATCCAATTTTTAAAAAAGGTGATAGACATTGTGCCGCAAATTACCGACCAGCTTGAACAGATCATTGTGAGGAAAATGGAATTTAACCTAAATTCACGAAAATCAACAGCACAGCACGGATTCTGCAAAGGTCGTTTCACTACCACCAATTTAACAGTTTTCACTCAAAACGTTTGCGAAGCCTTAGATTGCCGTTTACAAACGGACGTTATTTACTGACTTTTCACGCGCATTCGATCAACTCGACCATGATATTCTGTTTCGAAAAATTAAGATCTTTGGTTGCGATTTAAGTCTTTCGTTGCTTCTAAAATGGTACCTATCAAATCAAACGCAATATATCGAGCAGTCTGGAATCAGGTCGAAGCAAATAATGGTCACTAGCGGTGTGCCATGTTTAGGACCTTTACTGTTTACGATATTTGTGAATGAATTGCCACTTTTGAACAAATTTCAACATTAATGTATGCCGACGATCTGAAGCTTTTCAGAACAGTTGAATCGGACAATGATTGTACCAAGTTGTGGTCATGGTGCCAATCAAATGGGTTATTATTGAACGTTGCAAAATGTCAAATCATGACTTATACAAATAAAAGAAAAGTTATTCATTATGATTATCGGTTGGAAGATACAAGTCTTGAACGTTTGTCTGAAGTTAAAGATCTGAGGGTTTGATTCGACATTAAACTGCTGTTCAGCGACCACATAAGTAAGCTGTCTTCTGATGTCCTCAAAGTCCTCGGGTTTATCACTCGAAACAGCTGCGAGTTTGCCAGGTTGAGCTCAGTGTCCACTCTCTATAAAGCGTTCGTGAGAAGTAAATTAGAGGATTGTGCAATTGTCTGGTCACCAACAACTCAGAATAAAATCTCCGCAATAGAAAGGATGCAGAGGAAATATGTTAAATACACTACTCTCCAAAATTATCGCAGCACCTAAATTATGCATTAAGTTTAAAGGTATTTTCTTTTTTTGAATCAACGGATGGATTTTGATGATTCTTTCTTCACGGTATAGGTTGATTTTTAAGGAAGCAATGCGTTGATGGTTTCTGACAATTGTCAACGTTTTACCCATATACGGGGTGTAAAAAGAAATTTATGTTTTTTCTTCTAATTTTGCAACACCCTGTGGAATTTATCAGAAAGAACCGCTACAGCCCATTTACATTACGTTAGAATGGAAACCCTTCTCTACATTTTCGTTCAAGAATCATCTCGATATCTCTTTGATCAAGGAAGATATACATTTTTTTAAGTTTGACTTAATTTTGTTGAAATATAGTCCTTACTAATGAAACAAGCAGGCTATGAAATGTCAAACAGTTTGACAGAAATGCTTGTCAATTTTATTTACGCATTTAGCAAGTTGCTGCTTTGGGTTATTAAGTGTTTATTTGACATGGACCGTATTTCAAGACATTTAAACCGCGATGAGTGTGTTGAGGCAGTTACTTTAGCCAATGAAGGAATAAGTTATCGTGAAATAGGCTTGAGATTAGGAGTTTCTCATACAACAATATCACGTGCCGTTCAACGATTTCAAGAGACAAATGATCATACAAGACGACCTGGACAAGGAAGAAGGAGAGTCACAACACTACGCCAAGATCGTTTTATTAGACTTCGTGCTTTAAGGGAACGTTTTGTTACAATGAGAAACTTACAGATACAAGTAGCAGATGTTCATAATATTCGAATTAGTACTAACACTGTACAAAGGCGTCTCGCCGAAGGTGATTTGCATGCAAGGATTCCTGCCAGAGCACCAAATTTAAACGCAAATCATCGTAGAAGGAGATTGCAATTTGCCAGAGAACATCTTGACTGGAATGCTGATGACTGGGAACAAGTACTGTTCACAGATGAATCAAGGTTTTGTTTATACAGCTCAGATAGACGTTTAAGAGTAATTCGACGGCCCAATGAACGCTATGCACAGTGCAACATACGACCGACAACTTTATTTAATGGAGGATCTGTAATGGTTTGGGGTGGAATTTCGCTTACAGCACGAACAGACCTTGTTTCTTTGCGAAGAGGTTCATTAACAGGTGAAAGGTATATTACAGACATTTTATCGGAACACGTGGTACCCTTTGCTCCTTACATAGGAAATAATTTTTTATTAATGCATGATAATGCAAGACCTCATGTTGCCTATACGGTCCGTGACTATTTGGATGAAGTTGGTATACAAACCATGGACTGGCCACCCTGTAGCCCTGATCTCAATCCAATAGAGAATTTATGGGATAATATTGATCGTCAGTTAAGGGGCCGACATCCACCACCTATCGTTTTGGACGACGTTGAGAGGATGGTAAGAGAGGTTTGGGATGCAATTGATCAAGATCAAATTCGACGCTTGATTTTAAGTATGCCTCGTCGCTGTGAAGAAGTGATACGTAAGAGAGGCGGAAATACACGTTATTAGGTGATTTTGAGAGAATTGATTAAGGATTATGTAGTGTTTTTTAGTTTTCACCTACTTGTTTAAAATGTTAATAAAAATTCGTTACGTTTAAACTTGTGTATCTTCCTTGATAAAAGAGATATCGAGATGATTCTTGAACGAAAATGTAGAGAAGGGTTGTCATTCTAACGTAATGTAAATGGAATGTAGCGGTAGGGTGTTGCAAAATTAGAAGAAAAAACATAAATTTCTTTTTACACCCTTTATATGGGTAAAACGTTGACAATTGTTAAAAACCATCAACACATTTCTTCCTCAAAAATCAACCTATATCGTGAAGAAAGAATCATCAAAATCCATCCGTTGATTCAAAAAAAAAATACCTTTAAACTTAATGCATAATTTAGGTGGTGCGATAATTTTGGAGAGTAGTGTATATACATTTCCTAGAATTTGGGCATTATCATCCTAGAGGAAGTGATTACTATCATGCGTTACTTCAGCGATATGATCTCAGTTCACTCGAATCAAGACGACAGCAACTGTGCGCTTCGTTTGTAAACAACTTACTGCTTGGCCGTGTGACAGCGCCTAAAGTCCTATGTCGATTAAATTTCCAAGTGCCAAGAATGGAGTCCAGGAGCACTAAGGCTTTCTTACCGTATTGTGGTAACACCAATTGGGGCTTACATGCGCCTATCAATAGAATCATGCGCGATGCCGATTTCCCGATTTTGTAGATAATAGATTGTGTTAATTCAGTGAGTACCAAATTACCAGAACCGCACGAACACACATCGCCGTTGGTGCTGGTCCATGAGGTTACCAAATCTGGTTCGATCCTGAAAGAGTTAAGAAAATATACAATATTTGTACATTTTTCTACCTTACAAAGAGTCTCTAGAGGGAGAATCTACATTTTTTCATTAATTAATCTATGAATAAAATGAAAAGTAATTTATTGATAAGGAAGCTTTACTTATTTTTTAAAATTTTTATACATAACTCAGAAATTACATGATCTTAACATTAACATTTTATTTTTTTAGAATCAAGTTGAAGTATTAACAATTCTCTGCACTCTCTTATCACAAGTAGTTCATCTTCAAACCCAAGAAGGATCAATAAGAGAACGAATTCAAGGAAAAATAAAAGATGTTTTTGAAAGATACGCTTCCGATGGTTTTAAATGTCCCGCAAATATCGCAGCCTCATTCACAACGTTAAAAGATTTAATGCTATTTTTCGATTTTTATCATTCAAAACAATTCAATCAGGCTATAAAACTTTTAAACGAACTTCAATTGGTTCCATTACAAGCCAACGAACTTAACGAACGAGTGAACAGTTTTAAGAGATTAAATGTGAGCGTTTGTAAAGTATTACCCGATGTTTTATTAGCAACAATGAATATTTTATACGATCAATATCAAAAGTTGAAAAGTACAGAGTTGTTACCGCAAAGAAGAATTGATTCTAATATTGACAAGGTATTATTTTTGCATTATTTATTTCGTTTTTATTATTTTTATTTGTTTCTAGCAATTAAGTTATTTGAGAGAACAAGCTAAAGTCATTACAAACTTTACTGGAATGCTACCATATAGGATGCCAGGGGATACAAATAGTAGATTAGTTCAAATGGAAATATTAATGCATTAAAATTTGTTATATATTTCTTTTGTATTTTGAATAAAAGTTTCTTAATAAGAATTCTTTTTAATTTTTATTAAGTACTGATTTAAACATCAAAATCAGTTATCATTTCCTACGTATTTTGAGATATAAAAGTAATTGGAAAAATCGATAATTTGCCCTTCTTTCACCTGTAAATATAAAATAAATAACTTGTAGGTGATTATAAAAATAATCTTACAGCTTTATAATCCAAAAATTTTTGCTTAAATTCAAGAAAATCCGAAAAAGACGATAACAAATCAAAGATCTCCCCATCAAATTCATTTTGTCGACTTCTACATGAAACAAAAAGATTTAATATTGTATCTAATTAAAAGGAGTTGTGTAACCAACTTCATTTCATCCTCGAATTCCTTCATACAGAACCCTTCCAACTTGTTATTTAACCCCCTTTCAATGTATTTCTCGATAGTATTTTGATACTCTTTGAATATATCGGTGTACACAAACTTATTTTCCTCTGTATCATCAAATTCTTGCCAATATTTTTCCATAAACTCATCGTGAAGTCGCAAAAACTCATCTTCCATCAGCATATCTTCTATATGCCCTATTATCGAATTGAATCTTTTATCTGATTCGTTAATACACAGATTGGTAAAGTTGATATCGTCTGAAAAAAGGATTTTGTTAATTAATATATTAACAAATTTGCTCTATTCACCGTTCATGGTTTAAACTGTTGATTTTACAAAATTTTGACGTTTAATTCACGTTTGTTGAAATGCCGTTACGTTGCCATAACAACCAAGATAAAATTACGTTTTAAAGATTTTAAAAATGTTTATAATTATTATAATGAATTGTTTTATAATTTAATTAGATTAATTATTAATTTGTAAATATATAAACTACAATTTTTAAATTTGTAGAAGTACCAACTTAATAGTATAATTCAACTTAATTTATTAAGTCACTTAAATAAATAAATAACTATAAATATAATTATTTTTACACATAAATAGAATAATTATAAACGTTATGTTGAGTTTTTAGTACGAATTAATTAATTTAAAAATAATTTATCGTTTTTAGTACCAACCTAAATAATAAAAATTTTATATCATTCTCTAAACGTCAACGTCAAATTCAAAAAGTTTTGTCAGTTACAAAATCGGTTCCTCTTCACGTTCTTAAGCGTTAAATAATTTAATAATCATGGAAGATGTTATTGTGTACGATAAAAGTCTTCATCAACGTCTCCAAGAATACTTAGACATCTTCAGTAGTTGCAATTTACCTGTTGCGCAAATACAAAAAGTTTGGTCCACTTATTTAGAGTTAATGTTGGATCCCAACGGCTGGCAGGCGATTTGGAAGATTTGCAGGACAACGTGCGAGTCGTTAAAGATCTCATTTCCTACTTTAGTCCTAGTTTACGTTAAAGATGTAGATGTGGAAACACATAGCGCTTACATTGAAATTTTTGCGGTTCAAGATGATATAGATTTGCCTAAAGAACACTTGGTGCCTTTAAAACATTTATATCCAATGAAAGAACAAGCGAAAACGGTGGCCCTAAACATGGAATCAACTGCAAACGCCCTCGATTTATTTAGATTTTTTTATAACAATTTAATAGTCCCATGGGATTTTGAAGAAGATGATACCACTTCAGATTGGGTTCGTAAACATTTAGAGAACCGTTTGAGATTATATTATGATATGAAAAACGGAATTATTCAACGTCCTATTGCTGAGTATATTCGAGCATTGTTTATTGAAGCTCGTCGATTACAAACGAGAAAAGAACAAATTGAGGCTGAATTAGAAGAGGAAGATGTTGATCCTGATTCGGTAGAAGATGAACGTGTTCAACAACTTGTTGAATGGCATGTTAGAATAATGAGAATAAAAGGAGAAATTGATATATTAGAAAATCCTTTATTAAGAGGTGTTGTGATAAAACAAATGGAAAGAGAGCTAATTAAAACAAATTCTGATGAATCTCCAACAACTTGGCTTATAACTCAAGTGAAAAAAACTAAAGAATATTTAGAATTAATCCAAGAAATCGATAATTTACTCCCGAATGAACCATTAAAAATTTCTTACAACTTCACAAATACATTGGACTCTTTAAAATCTTCTGAAAAAATCCTTTTAAATAAATCAACTCACCATTTAGAAAGTGTAGGAAAAATTATGTGGGGTGGTCAAATTAAAGGAATTTCAACCCCAGAATCAACAATAATAACATCAGGAAGTGATGATATTGCATTAGATTTTTTGGGAGAAGTTATTTTGGAAAATTTAACTATAAAAACGAAAAAATCCCAATGTGCTATTCTAGTACGTTGGGGAAATGTAACACTTAGAAATTGTAAACTAATCGGAAATCATCAAGGGATTATCGTGCTAAACGAATGTCAACTTACCTTGGAAAATTGCGAATTCCGAGGATTTTCAACTGCTTTAGTTGGAAATTCAGGTTCAAAAATCAATATGAAAGAGATTGAAATACATGATGTTGATTTTGGAATGAAAATTTATGAAGGTTGTGCTTTAAAAATCGAAAAGAGTAATTTCTCTTATTGCAGAGAGTATGGGTTAAGTGTTGAAACAACAAAGTTGGTTAATGCCCATCAAATTTGCAACTTTGAGATTTTAAAAGAGTAATTATTAATACATTAATATCAATTTAATTAATGTATTGATTTTTTTTTTAATTTTAGATTATCAAATGTTAAATTGAATGATGTTTTTGGACATCAAAATGGTAAAGGAGATGTTAGTTTAAATAGAATGGCTAAATTGATGTCTGTAAAAGATTTATTTAATGATTTACAATCGGATGAGATGGAAAGTGAAGTTGAAGATGAAACTTTAAATAATTCCGTTATTCATGTGGTAAATTAAAAATTATATTTTTTATGATTATTTTTTTATAATCACCCAAGGTGAGTGCAATGTTAAAATAATATTTAAATTATTAAAAAAAAAATTGTTGATATTTTATTCAACACTCAAAATATCCTTTTTATTCCTGTCTTTTCATTATTATGGTGTTTTAAATATTGATCTTGAACATGATTTCTTTATTATATTGAGTTAATACTATTAATTTTAATCTTAATATTTTTATGATGGATCTTGGAAAGATATAATTCTCAAGTTATTGTATAAGTGTTTGAATTAAATTACAATAACCAGATTTACCTCGATGCCACAAAACTACTATCATTGGTCATTACAATGATTAATGAAGTACCATAATAGAACAAATTTTTGTGAAAACAAGGGTTCAACTTCTCCACAAGGCAGATATTTACAACACATGACAAAACAGCCAATTGCTTGAAGTTTCTGCAAAGCATATAATATCATAACCAAAAGTCAATACCTACATACACACCCTATGTAACAAAATGTTCAAATATTGAGTTTTTATTGTAACAACCATTAAAATTTTAAATAGCATACCAAGAAGCTTTAAGGGGGAAATTCATTTAGAACCGTCAAAAAACTCAAAATTTAAGAAATTAATTAAATTTAATTTTAATTATAAAAGTTGCCTGAACATCTTAAGAATGTGATAGCAAAATTTTAAAGCGATATTCGAAGTACTTCCGTTAAAATAGCGTGTTCGGTGCGTGTTCTTCCTAAATATCATACATATAAACTATGTGACTCACGCATGATCACGTGATAAAAAAAATCGATTATTTTTATAGCAATATCTTGTTTAAGCTCTTGATTCTATGAAGTTTTAATTTCAAATGATTTAAATTGTAGAAGTTATAAACCTTTAACAACTACGTTATAGATAACAATTTACAAGTCTTCCCGGTTTTTATAACTCCGTCTCTTTACTTCTGGGGGAATAAAACGGACAAAAACGGGATTATTCACTAAGGGCCGCATTAAGGAACACACCTTTATTGCAAATTGTAGAGAAATAATAGGTTTATTAATAATTTTAGTTTCAACGAATTTAAATTAGATCTTGTTCTTGTCTGCCCGACTTTTCTTTATGATGGTCATAAAAATCGATGTTTTAAATTGTCGTATAGTTTCCGATATTTCTCATGGTTTTTATGACCCTGAGAAATTGTACTGGCAATAATTATCGCTGGGAAAAATCTATTATTGCTTTTATTTTCATCCCTCCCACTAAATCGGATATTATGCTGATAGCATAAATTCAAAACACCAAATTTGAGTTTCTTTAGTCTTAAATGTGAGATATAACTCTTAATATTCAAAATGTCTTCCTATCCGAAATGTAGTAATGCGTCTAGGGCGCGAAAATGCCATTTTCATGGGAATCAGCACACTAAAAAAGAAGAAGAAGAAGTTGCAGGACATAGTTCAAGTGCAAAAAAACTGTCCATTGGAAGAACTGAACATATTGCACCGAATAGTCAACATTCGTTTCGTTTGATAGAGTTTTTTACCGTGAACAATGCTTTGGCTAATGTTGTTATTTGTTGCAAATGTAAAGATACCATACAATTTGATGTAGATGGAATGAGAGGTCTTGGGTTCAAGCTCGTTTGGCTTTGTCGGTTTGGCCGAAGAGACATAAATTCGGGACCGTTAATTCAAACTGGTTATGAAATAAATCGTAGAATTCTTTTTGTTATGTGTCTGCTGGGCATTGGGAGGCAAGGAATAAATTTATTTTGCAATTTTATGGATATATGCGACGGTTTGAGTAATAGTGCATACAATAATATTGTTAAACATCGGCATTCAGCCACCAAATCGGTGTTCGAATATTTCAGCGGAAAAGCTGTTAAAGAAGAAAACGAAAGGCAAGAAAGGTCAATCTTGAATTTAAAAGTATCTGGGTAATGGTTCTTGGAAAAAGCGCGGATCCAAATCATTATACGGCGTAACATCGCTTATTGGGTACTATTCTGGTAAAGTTATCGATGTAGCTGTAAAAAGCAGTTATTGTCAAGCCTGTACATTTTATAAAAATAAAGAAAATACAGAAGAATATATTGACTGGTATGAAGAACATAAAGAAAATTGCATGAAAACTCACGAAGGGTCTGCCGGTAAAATGGAAGTCGATGCAATTGTAAAAATGTTTTTGAGATCCGAAGAAAAGTTTAGTGTAAAATACGGCAACTATATAGGGGTCGGAGATTCCAAAACGTTCAAAGCAATTTTAGAACAAAATCCATATGGCGACGATTTTCCAGGAATTAAAAATGAATGTATTAGACATGTTGAAAAGAGGATGGGCTCCTGACTACGAAACATAAAAAAAACATACAAACTTGGCAGAAAAGGAAAATTGACAGATACTCTAATCAGAAAACTTACGACATACTACGGTCTTGCTATCCGTAGAAATATCAACAGTGCAGAGGACATGAAAAAAGCGATAATGGCTACTTATTACCACATGTGCTCTACGAGCTGGTGCAAGTGGCAAAAAGCTAAATCAAATGGGTCGGATTCCTTGATGAAGCATCCAGATGTTCAGAAACACATATATTCAATTTATGAAGATTTATCCAGAGAAAATTTATNATTTGAGTTTCTTTAGTCTTAAATGTGAGATATAACTCTTAATATTCAAAATGTCTTCCTATCCGAAATGTAGTAATGCGTCTAGGGCGCGAAAACGCCATTTTCTTGGGAATCAGCACACTAAAAAAGAAGAAGAAGAAGTTGCAGGACATAGTTCAAGTGCAAAAAAAACTATCCACTGGAAGAACTGAACATATTGCACCGAATAGTCAACATTCGTTTCGTTTGATAGAGTTTTTTTACCGTGTTCAATACTTTGGCTAATGTTGTTATTTGTTGCAAATGTAAAGATACCATACAATTTGAGGTAGATGGAATGAGAGGTCTTGGGTTCAAGCTCGTTTTGCTTTGTCGTTGTGGCCGAAGACATAAATTCAGGACCGTTAATTCAAACTGGTTATGAAATAAATCGTAGAATTGTTTTTGTTATGCGCCTGCTGGGCATTGGGAGGCAAGGAATAAATTTATTTTGCAATTTTATGGATATATAACAATAATATTGTTAAACATCAGCATTCAGCCACCAAATCGGTGTTCGAATATTTCAGCGGAAAAGCTGTTGAAGAAGAAAAGAAAGAAAACGAAAGGCAAGAAAGGTCAATCTTGAATTTAAAAGTATCTGGGTAATGGTAACATGTGCTCTACGAGCTGGTGCAAGTGGCAAAAAGCTAAATCAAATAGGTCGGATTCCTTGATGAAGCATCCAGATGTTCAGAAACACATATATTCAATTTATGAAGATTTATCCAGAGAAAATTTATTAATAAGATGTTTGGGGGGCTACACTCAAAATGCCAATGAAAGTTTCAACTCTACTATTTGGCGATTGGCTCCAAAGTACCTGAATTCTGACTTAAAAATAGTGGAAATTAGTACATATATTACGGCTAGTTTATTTAATGAAGGACACAGTAGCATATTGGAAATAATGAGTAAATGAAATCTAATTATTGGGAGGCAAGCCAAAATATATACGCTGAACAAATGGACGAACATCAAATTACTCTGCAGGAACGACGTAACGAATCTGTGTTTAAAGAAGCTCGAAAAGCACAAAAAGACAAGTTGGCGATCGAAAGTGAATTTTATGAAGAAGCTGAAGGTCTGTTATATGGTCCGGGTATTGCAGACTAGCCAACAAGTTATTTGTGATTGAAAAAAATTTGTTTTTACGACTTGAAACATTAACGTGCTTTTAATTCTAACCACTGTAGCGGATGCTAGAATGTTTGAAACGGAACCGCTCACTCCGTAACGTTCCCCTATCTGATCACTATTTGCCGTTCGCCTATAAGAGTTTTAGAATATGTGAGTACATATTTTTATAGTACAAAGCATCACTAAATAGTAGTGGGTATCAAAAAGGTTTGTAACTAATTTCAACTTCACGAAAAAATAACTTGAAAATACGCTGATTTTAGCTCGTCTAAATGTACTTCCCCCCTTAATATCTTTAGAAAACTCATGTCTTAAAAATTTTATATTTCATTGCCAATGTCTTATGTATAATATACAGTTTTGTTATTATCAGAAATATTTTTTTAATAGTGTTTTAAGCATATTCCATAGTGCTAACATGAAAGTTAAGCGGATATGGAGAAATATGTAGTTGGGTTGCAAGAAAGCATAATTTAAGAGGAAGAACAGAATCCTACAATTTACAAAACTATTACTGAAGACGTAAAGTATGGGAGATTATAACACAAATTGAAGACAAAACTGTGTTATTTTTCGACTCATCAAATGACATCAATGACGCCGCTTTTTGATAATTGTGTTATATTTTGATAAAACGTTTACGTAATAATAGTAAATTATAGTTTGTTAGAGAGGAGCTATGAAAAAAATCAGGACGATTGAGGAGACTTTAGAAACAATTAGAAGAGGAGGAAAATGAAAATAGTGTTCAAGATGATCATGATCATTTTAGGGAGAAAGATAATGTAGAGGAGCGCGAAGAAAATTCTGAGTCGGCGCAAGAACTGCAACCAGAATTAACCTAACAAAAAGGTAAAACTGATGGAACCCTTCTTTATCGGAAAAGACAACCTAACAAAATGGAATCTAATAAAATGATACAACCTTAGCAGGCGTAAAAGGACCAGCATGTATTTCATAAAATATTTTGGATATTTGGTTATGCTTTTTTACTGATGACATTATAAATCTTCTTGTTGAATGTACTAACTTATCTATACATCAACATCAGTATTCTAGTGAATATCGAAAAGAAACTAGGTACTACCAATATAATTGAAATAAAAGCATTGATCAGACTCATTTACCTTTCCGCCGTGCGTAAAATCAATCATTGAAGATTTATGGCAAACTAATGGCACATCCATAGAAATGTTCAGACTAACGATGACTAACGAAACATTTGAGGTTTGATAATAAAAATACCCGATTTGAGAGGATAAAAAGAGATTTGTTCGAATTGTTTATTTCTAACTGCTAGAAAAATTATTCCCCATTAGAGTATACTATTGTCGATGAAATGCAGTATATTCCACGTAAACTCGAGAGGTATGGCATCAAAATATTTACTTTAGTTGATGCTAAAGCTTTTTATACAATGAATAACACATGACACAATGAGGTTTGCGTTGGAAAACAACCCTCTGGACCCTTTTGTGATACAGAACTTTTGTGAGAACAGGGAAAAAGCAAATGTTGAGCGTCCTTCGTTGACAAAACGAAGGATGGTGTTGACACATTGGACCAATTATGTGCCAAATATAACTATGCCATAAACACAAGAAGGTGGCCTATGGTAATTTTTTTATCGAGTATTGATCATAGCTGCCATAAATGCTTTTTCTGTGTTCAATTCAAGAAATCCTGGTGCAAATATTCTTCGAAGAGTTTTTCTGGAAAAAGTTTCATTTGATTTGGTAACAGATCATCTGAAGAGGCGTGTAACAACTCAACAAGTACGATATTTAACCCAAATGTGCATAAAAGAAATCTGCAACATGGGACCTGAAACTGTTGCCCAAGAGCAAAACAGAGAGTATGGTAGATGTTTCTTATGCAGTGCAAAAAAGAATCGCAAAACAAAATATAAGTGTACTGGATGTAAAAATTTTTTATGTTTAGAGCATATTACCGCAATGTGCAGTGATTTAATTATTTTATGACTATGTATTAACATATTATTCTTATGATTTAACATCTTATGTACGTAAAATTACCTTACTTTTTGGTGGGTGTGGTCTGACAAACAGTCAGTACTGGTGTTATAAAAATCATGTTAGTACTGGAAGGTTAAATGTAATTACCTTGGACTGGTCTAAGGTCAAACATGTTATTGATCTAAGGTACACGATTGATAACGTTTTTAAAAATCATTCTTGTTTTATTAGGTTATATTTAGAAGCATCGCCGTTATTTTTAAATTACAGAGAAATGGACGCAGAACTTAGCTGAGCAACAATTTTAAACTTAGCTTGTAATATAGAGCGAAAATACTTAGTTTAAACAAACTTAAAAATTTGCTTTACGACATTAAAAACGTTAAAAATAACGAAAATCAAAAACCCAACCTATATTTTTACTATCACTACAATGTAACCTCATCTGTCGGGTATACCTTGCAGTGGAGTAAATATTAAGTTTATAGATTCTTGTATTATAAGTAAATCTACTACCTGTCCAAGGTACAGTACATTCCCCTAAAGAAAATCTTAATAATCAGATATTCAAAACAGGTTTATGGAAAGAACCCAATGAGATACTGCGCAATAATAATAAAGATATAAACCCTCATTTCTTTTATGGTCCCCCAAATTGTATTCTGTTAGTGATCTTAACGTCTTCATCTCCGTCGTTCTGATTCTTTATGCGGTAGCATTTTCTGCCCTTGTCTCTATAAATGCGGACTTTCGAGGGACATACAGGTGTTTCATGAGGAATGGTACATGCGTTAATATGTTATAGATTTGTTCATTTTAAGCAGAAAAGTTCCTAAAAACTAGTGCTCCATAAACTGGAGGCCAGTTACTGCATAAACTGATTTATTTAAATGTGTAATCGAAATTCCAACATTAAAGGAAGAGTTCGAATATCCCACCGCCTAACTCGATGCACTTGGCTTGAAGATATCACGCACTGTGCTGAGTAATTTATTCTAATGTGCCTTGATTCGGGCAACACTGGCCGTAATACGAGCGATTAGCTCATCACTCGTATTTACTTTTACTTGATAAACATCGCTTTTCAGCCATCCCCACATTTCGTAATCTAACGGATTAAGGTCCCATGACAGACCTGGCTAACTGATAGGACCCCCACGACCACCGTACCGCAAAGGTTTGGTTCAGGTATTGCGTCACTTCAGGGCCGTAGTGACCATCATGCTGGAAGAACATATTGGCTCTGGTAGCCAAAGGAATATCTTCTAACAGTATTGGAAGCTCATTGCGCAAGAACTCTAAATATCTGTCCACTGTTAGACACCCGAGTAGTACGAAAGGCGCAATTAAGTTATTGTCAATCATTCCACACTATACATTCACAGAGAATTTTACCTGAAAATTTGTTTCAACACTGGCATGCAGATTATGCTCAGACCAACGGTGATCATTTCGACCGTTATTGATTCCATTACGGGTGAAAGTAGCTTCATCGGTAAAAAGTATCACAGGAACCAAGCGGCGGTTAGATATTACCCATCCACAAAATTCCAATCTCCTGGCAAAGTTTGTTGGTTCAAGGTGTTGTACTGGTTGAACATGGATGGATACAAGCCATGAGTATACTTTTACATGAGGAACACCAAGACGAGCAGAAAGTCTTCTTGTACTGGTAGATGGACTGCGTTCTACCGACTGAAGAATTTGTTCAACTTCATTCTAAGTTTGCGCACCTGCACGTTGAGAATGCATACTTGTACTTGGAACAGAACCGGTTATCAATAATTTAGTCGACACGTCAACCAAATAATGTTAAATGTCAAAAATTGACAAATGACTGTTACACAATAGCCGTGATATCAATTTATGCATTAACTGGCTGTATCTGTTACCTTTGAGAATTGAGCACATGTTTTTAGGAACTTTTCTGCTTAAAATGAACAAATCTATAACATATTAACGTATGTACCATTCCTCGTGAAACCCTGCTGTATACTTGTTTTACCTTTACTGCTGTATGTCCGTCAGATAACCAAGTATCAAGCTTCTTTTGTTTAAGCTATTACTTCATCTTTGAGGTTCCTGCTGCTGGTAACGTTGACACCCAGATATTTAAAACTTGTATACTGCCAATTTGCAATGCGATTTTATTAAACACCAAATTAGACTAAGCAGTCTTTCCTCATGCTTAGCCTGCATGAGGAAAGCGCGGTCCTACTAATGCACTGATTAAGATATGTCAAAGATTTGCTATACAGGTATGGCGCGACCTTTTTAAAATTCAGATTGTAAGGGTTGTAAATCCTGATCTTTTAGTAGATCTAGTTAAAAAGTAGATTACAACTTTGTTATTTTAAAACTGTTAAATAATTAATGATTGTTTATTTTTCGTGGGTAAGATGTTGAGCTTCAAAAATAATTGATAGGTTGTATAGTTAATAGCAGGGATTCTAAATTATTTGAATGAAAATTAAACAAAAGAATATAAGACTTTTACACTTTTTATAATTACTTTTTAATGTAATCACTGTAAAACAAAACAAATAATACAAAAAATGCAATAATAATACGTGACTACATCGATTTTAATGATTTCATGAATGTTGAGAGGAATGAATACGTGAAAAAATTTAATTTTACTATGAAGCTTACAAAAAAATAGAGAATTAAATCATGAAAAAAAAATCGGTTTCAATCTTTTGCAATTATTACTCTAATCGTGACTAACACACTTGTTACAACTTTATTTCTGGTTTGCGCACAGGTTACCAACAAATTTTCTATAAATATATTACCAACAAAAAAAGTTATATTTCAGCGTATTCACTTAAATCAACAAATTTCGTTTACAAATTTAACTGGTGCAATATATTAAGTAGTGTTCACACATATTGCTTATTAACAGTAAAGATACAATAACAAATTCATTTTATCTAAGATTTTCTTAAAAGTTTTTGAGAAAATAACTGGTGGTAATCTGCACAACAAGTATTTGACTAGTTTGTGATTTTATTCGATCGATTTTACCACATGTGCGTTTCTCTTATTTCGCTGATTATATGCGCAGCTCTTTGTAAAGCCTAAAAAATACATAATAATTAAATTAAAAAAATATTTACATTTATAATTACCTTTAACATATCCCCCGCTTCTTTCCTTCTTTGAGCAATATGTTCAGACTCATCCAATAAAGTATCAGCATTATCAGCTTTATAAAGATGAGTAACAAGCTCAGATTGAAGATTATCTTTGACGAAATTTACTAAGAAATGCATCACAGCTTTAGGTACAGTATCTTGTATAGATTTTCGTACAATATAAAAGTATGATTTAATTAAACGTTCTAGAAAAAATATTTTAGTATTTATATCTTTTTAAATTTAAATTTTATACCAATGATTTCACAATCATGTTCTTCATTCTCAGAAAGTTTTCTAAAGTTGCTATTATTAAGTGGTATTTGCGGTAATAAATTTACTGGTTTTACTGGACTTAAAACCGATCTTATATCACCTTCAGGAGAATTTTCTTCAGCACCATTATTCATTAGGTGGTTCTGCATTTCTTTATTTTCGTTTGGAATTAGGTTTGATACCCAATTAGTTGGATCTCTATCGTCAGTCGGTAAACGCCTCTAATAATTTATTTAAAATCACTTAATGTGTTAAAATTAACTGTGAAAATCTCAACCAAGCAATCGATTTTATTATTTAATTTTTTGAGAGTTAGTTTGTTGGGTAAATAGTTAGTTTTGCAAAAAAACGCCAACAAAAAAAAATACCTGAACGAAACTGATGAATTCATTATAACTTGTTGAAGGTAAGATGTGAAATAAATAATTAAAAAAGTCGTTGGGATCAACGCTTGGTTGTGCGATTTGTATTGTTGACTAACAATAAGAATTTAACTTTAACATAAAATTTATTCTTACCAAAAAAAATTAATAAACTTACCGGATCATCAACTGGAATTTTTCCATACATAGATTTTGGCCTGTTAGTTCTATTATCTCCAGATTTAATCATCGTAGGAACCATAGCAATTTCTTTATAAAAATCGGGATGTTTCGTATTAATATAAGCCAATTCAATAGCAACTAAATTCTCAACCATAATATTTGTTGTTGGTAATCTTCTACGTAACAATTGAGTTACAACGTCAACGATTTTCTCGTACAATTTCGGAAATCTTAACATTTCTTGTTGAACTTCGCTTCCGCAATGTTGAATTATCCTTTGCATTTCTTCGTGAATTAATTCGACGCATCTTAAAGATGGTTCTTCGAGTCTTCGAATTTGTCTCTTTACTAATAATTCAAATGAAACTTCAGGAACGAATAAAGCGGGTCTGGGACCGTTAGCGTTTCTAATCGCTGTTAAAATATCCATTTTTGTTAATCCGGCTAAAGGGTGGATGGAGTCTAAAGTTTTGCCAAACGTTTCGTGAAATATATAACATATCCTTGCACCACCGCATAATTCAGTCGTTTCTATATTTCTAGCAGTCCCCTCGATTGTCGAATTATAAGCCGATGCAAACTTTGTAATGATTTGCAAGAGAGTTTTGCTTTTATCAGAAATATCTTCCCCGTAAGATGAAAGAAGTGATTGAAATTGTGACATCATTAAATTAACTCTAGTTTTTAAGTCTGGTAAACAATCTCTTATATGATGCATTAATAATCGATTTAAAGTTTTGGCTAAGTATGGAGTCCCATTTCGAGTCGCTAATGTCGGATATTTGCTTTGTAAAAATGTTGCTTCGTCTTTTAATTGTTCCTTAATATTTTTATTGTTCATAATATCTTGTTGAGATCGATTAACCACCCCGATTATACCTAGTTTCACCGGAATTACACGTCCGCATAAAATATCGATAGCGTCAGTCCCAGCATCCATTAAATCTAATTTTGTTACGACCGCGAGGGTTCTTCGACCGTCTGGATCGACGTCTTTAGCTATTTTCAAACTTTCAGATGTGGCCATATCCGTATTGGCTGTTACAACCGCTAAAATTATCGAATTTGGATTCGCAATATATTTCGTTACCAAATCGCGAATTTGCGCTTCGATATCAGCCGGTTGGTCACCAACAGGAACTTTGGTAATACCCGGAAGGTCAACTAATGTTAAATTAACAACTTTTGTTGAAAAAATTTTTAAGTTTATAGGTTCGGGACAAATTCCTTTATTTCCGCCGGCCATTCGATCAGTTTCATCTTCTATTTCTTTACGAATTTCGTCGAAATTACGAAAAATACGAGATTTTGTATGAAGAAATACTCCCCAGTCTTCTAATTCAATTGTTCCTAAATGAAACAATTATAGAACAAATTACAAATATGTAGTGGTTAAATAATTTTATATTACACTATGAACCCATTTGTTTGTTGAAAAGCTCATATGAATTGTATGTTAAAAGATACAGAAAAGTCAATTAAAAATTAAATATGCGTGTCACATTATTGTTTTAAAAGAAAACTTCGTAGACCTAAATTAGCTTTTCTTGATGTACGTATTTTGTATGGAGAATGAAAATACTAAAACAATAAACTATTCATGATGATAGTCAACATATCGCTTAAACTGTGCTTATTAATATTTATGTGAATAACCTTGGTTTGTAGTTGGGGGGTGTCGAAGGTTGGCAATGAGTCTCGGCGGAGTAGGTTGCTGATGTCTACTCTGCATCAAAATTCTGAGAAATGCCCACTGAAACTGAATAGTTAGACTCTCGAAAAATCGTAAGCAGATTTGCCAACAAATCCTACTCTCATGTCCTTGATACGGTATTGAAAGGATTAGGATCAATCGTAACTTCTAATTTCATCCTGTGCTACTCAGGAAGGAAACATCAGTGGGAGTTCCTGGAATGGGCTATATGATATCAAAGAAAAGCGGTAAAGTAGTATTGGGTTTTTCGTCTATCTCTGTAGAGTATGCACTTTGAGGATAAAAGCAAAACTGCACAACATTATTTTCGCAAATGGCATATACATTTACAAAGACTCAGAAGATGGGGAGGCAGACGTGGTGGAAGAATTTTACAAAAAAACTGCCATCTGTATGCGATGATTTTTTATTTTACAAAACAAGTCGTCAAAATCACGCAGAAAACTGCAATGCGAATCTTGGAAAATAGCGAATATTAGGAGATATCGTGAAGAGACACAGTTTACAACAGAACAGTTTTAAAAAACAATACAGGCCATCAAGAACAGACGACATATACTGCCTAACACGGAGACAAAGTACCCACATATGATGAAGTGATACAGGATCAGATGGATTCAGAACTGAACTATTGAAACACGGAGGCAAACATCTTAGAGAGGAAAGGATTCACAATTTAAGCAACAATATCAGGATATATCAGAAGTGGGACGGATTAAAATGTGTACTCTATAAAATTCTATCAGGTATAATACACAATAGGCTAACTAATTACGCAGAAAAAGTACTCGGGATATATGTATAATGCGTATGAGCGATAACGGAATCCCAAAAAGGGTTCTTGACTAGAAACCAATGGACAGAAGATTGAGGGTATGGTTGGATCCTCAAGGAGGATCTGAAAACAATGGAACTAAGACATTGGCGAGGGAGAAGATGGAGGGAGACGATGTTGGGAAAGGGCGGAATGTCGAAAATTAATTGAGCAGGCAAAAACCCAGGGTTGAAGCAGGAATAAAAGAAGAACTTAGATCTACGACGTATGTAATTAGATTAACTAACCAACAAAAAATATTGCAACAGTTAGCTTGACAAATTAGTTTATTACCAATAATAGGATAACTACTCAATAGATTAAAAATAAATATGAAATGCAACTCTGTGGTGGACAATTACTGTAGCCAGGTAAAAGATAGGGAGGTTTCGCAAGACTCGTGATTGGATCCAGATTTTTTAAACATCCAGTTCAATTCGATATTTGCATTCAATGACGATGCCACTCTTTTAGTGAGAACAGGACTGTACAAAGTATTACGAGAAAGAATCAATGATTCATCTGTGGGAAGAAACTGAAGTTACAATGTAAGGCTGAGAAGGTGGAGGAGATACACTTCGGATAAAAGCAGCTTACTTTCAAGTAAGACAGGAAGTCGATTAGGTGTAGCGAATAAGACTGGGCACATTGAAACTACGCCACAGAAATGCCTGTCACCTCTCGAACCGTATTGGGTCGATAACTACATTGACTTGAGGTCGTGACAGTAGAGCAGGAAAGAAATATAAATTAGGTTTGGAAATAACAGGTCAGGAGAGTCGTGAATTCTACGCTTAGAAAATTATTTATTATGTAAAGGGTTAGGGACATTTTTGACTATGATATCAAGAGAACCAAGAACTTTGAGATTACTCAAGATGACATAGAAAGCTGGTTGCCAAGCCAAAATGCTAACAATTAACAAAGTTAGGTATGCGTCATTCTTATAGGACAATGCACGATTTTCTCATATAATAGGTCGTCATTACAGGCATTGAGGAAACGTGGAATTTAACGTGAAGATGCATCCCAGACAGCAGATTAACATTGGACTACAGCATGTAGATGGTCTGCCTATCGATAACACGAGACTTAGTGTGGAAAAGAAAAAATCGTCGGGATGGATCCATCATGGAAAGATAGTTTTGCCAAAAGTGAGTAAAATTGGGAAGTGTTTAGTCATGCATTCATTTAATCATTACACAAAGAAACATTGGCAGTAGATAGGTCGTCGTGATATGCTGTTATAAGAATATCGCCTAGTAAAAGAATCTGCGATGTGTCTCATAATGGATTGCCCGCGAACGATTGAATAAAGATTCGGAATTGATCACGATACTAGTTAGAATGACCCAGAAGAAAAGAAGACGTTGGCAAAATAGAGAAGATACCAGAGAATAGTGGAAGATTTTCGATGAGTTTGGAACCCCAAGTTCATAAAGAGCCGCGAATGACAAGTAAAGCAGGTGCTCCTTCACAGCCTAGTATAAATCATAGCCAAAAAGAACCTTGCAGGGTAATTCAAGTATTGCTGCGTAATCTTTTGTATCCAACATACTGCTAAATTAGATAATGGATAGATTGATGTTTAATCTAAACACCGCCAATACCGCAGATATCATATGCAAAGTTTTCGAGAGTTTTGGAAATGCCAAAAATTCAAACTGAAGAAAAGGAAGTAATATCTCAATTGTAAAACGTCAGAAAGAGGTGAGAGAAGTTTTACTGCGTCAAAAATCTGGAGAAACAAGAAAGCCTTGTGCTCCAAGATACCTCAATAGAATAATTTATAAACCACCGTTTTTGAAAAATCAGTTCCAAAATTAAACCAATTTTACAATTAGCAGCCTGTACTTTTAATGAAGACTTCATGGCCTTATTTTAAATATTCAGATCAACATGTTTTTTTAGCTGATTCATAAGTAGTTCTGAATGCCATTTACCACTTTTAACAAGATAAACAATCAAATTCGTTATTTCCGTCTGAAATAGCAAACCTCAAATTGACAATTGAGGTTGAACTCTAAGTAATCATCAAAAAGCTTTCTTATGAGCTTCTCTTATGGGTTTCAGTTAAATTTTTCAACAACTCAGGGAACCTGGACTAATTCTTATTTCAAGCAACTGTGACTCTATAACAATTAAGTCTATAAGCAACCATGTGTAACTGATACAGGGTTGAATCATGAATCAATAAAATCTTCAAATATTACATACTGTTAGACAATTACGTTTTGAATACTGTTTCAGTGTTCAATGAGAAACTGCTTGAATTGCAATTTATACCACCTAGATTAAACGCGCCTTATTTAATTTTTTAAAATGAAATACATGATTAATAGCAGTTCAATTTAATAATCTAAAGATGGTTCCAAAGTATCTCATTTTTACAACTTAATGGCATATTATGGAATTAATGTATTAATTTATTTTTACAATTTTTTCAGATACTGTTATCCTAATGAGGATAACACAAGTGCCAAAATGAGCCCAATTAATTAGTGATATTAATAAATTAAGATAAAATTTGCTACAAATTGATCCAATATCATGTGCAAAATAATCAAGTACAAACAATTCCAATGAGAAGATTGGTAAGCTATTAAACATTGCTATCCAATATAAAGTAAACATAATCAAATTTTTTTTTCAATAATTTATCAATGCTTATCAAATCTATTCGACATTCTTAACTAATCAATTTATGAAGTCATATGACCTCGATACATTCTATATAAGCAATAAACATTACCATCTAAAGCATTCCTATGTTCCTTATCTTCTTTGGGACAATAAACCAATTGTAAAATAAGTGGTCTTCTAGTAACAATTCCAGTTCCTCTGGGTAAAAAAGATTTTCCAACCAAGCTCTCAATAACAGAACTTTTACCTGAACTCTAAAATTTCATAAAGAAAATTAAAACTTAATTTAATAAACTTTCTATAATTGTAAGTTAATATTAATACCTGCGATCCTAAGACAACAATTTGTGGTAATTGTATGGCATCTGATCCAACTGTATTAAAAACATCTTGGAGTTTGTTAATAACTGGAATTAGGGCTTCCATTTCGGTCTGTTAAAATTAAAACCGGTCAATTTACGAACGCAACTCTTTGTCAATTTGGCTTTGTTATGTCTCTATCGATTTTTTTTAAACAGACGTATATTATTATGGTGAAATCACCATAATAAATTAACCGTGTTAATAAAAACGGGTTAACTTGTTAAATTCAAGTAATTTCCGAAAAAGCACAATTATTTCTGTGTTGACTTGACGGTTATAGAATTGAGGTTGGGTTTTGGTATTTTCAATATTGGCTAGCCTTCAAAATGTTACGCAATAAAGCGCGAAATTTAAAAAATTATTAAAAATGAAATAAATAAGAAATAAATATTGCTATACGTACTTTTGTATTTATTGTATAAAATAATGCGGTGGAACTACTTGCTAGAATAACCATAAGTGGATTATATATTCTTTTTTTGCTAATACTTAATAAGGCTAAAATTTTTAAAACGGCAAAATTAAAATTCACCTTTAATATATTTATTTTTGTCAATTTCGACAATCTTATTGACATTATTACTAATAAATAAAAATAGAAATAAAAAATAATCTACACTCAAATTTATTTCTAAGAGGCTGCCAATGTTCTATAAAATGTGGTTCTTACCTTAACTATTATATGTAATGTAAGTTGCATAAACCAATTCATTCAAGTTTTAGTTTTGAAATTAACTTTTTAGTATGAATTAATTTTTAATTTTTTAATGTTGTGCTGATTCTGAAACTGTCTTCAGTTTTTCTCCATCACGTCCAGTTTTCGAGATATACCCAAAAATGTGGTAAATCGTAAATTAAAAAACATAGTAACGGTTCATGTTCAGTATATTTTTTATTTTGCATAGTGTGCTTCTGTAGCTACATGGACATGAAAGTAGAGATCCAGACGAACATTTTGAGGTATTGATGGCATAAATCGGACTCTCCGTTATTTTGCTACAGCCTAAAACAACTCAACAAAAGCAAACTTTTTGGCATTTTTCCCATTTTTTAATCACTTAATCGCACCGTAACGAAAAAGAATTATATATGAACAAAAAAGTTAGCTATTCTATCCTGTAGAACATTTAATTCTCTAAATTTCGAAGCATTGGACACCATGGTCGAACGTATCGTTAATTTACGACAATTGTGCAAAATTTCATTTTTTGCCATTTTCACTGTATTCTTGAAACCAGGCGCTAAATGTAAACATTAAATTCACTGAAATCAATATTATTTTGGTCAATCCTACCTTCGAAATTTTGAGTTTCTAACTTACAATAAATTAGATACGAGTGTTGAAAGTTGTTATCTGCATTCACTCTGTTGACTTTCATAGAAACGAGTGAGTGAAAATTTTTTTCACTCACTCTAATTTTTTTCAACCACTTTTAGCTAAACATAAAACCTTTAAAGGAAGAACTCTTTGTTTAAACATAACGGATGTTAACTAAAAAACGGTGGACAGCACACGTGGAAAATTAATGAAGTATTTCACTTGTATAAATTATTAATTTTATGCATAATGATGACAATTAATAATTTGACACAAATGGTTGATTACCAGGGTTGGGCATAATGCACTAAAAAATAAATGCAATGAGCGTTTCACTACCACTACTTCTTCAGTGGTAGTTAAAACACGAATTTCATTATCACTGAATATTTAGTACTAGTGAAAAAAAAATTACATTACCACTAAACCTTTAGTGATTGTGAAAAAAAATTGCACTACCACTAAATATTTAGTGATATTTAGTGAGTTTTTAGTGATAATTAACATTATTATTCATTGTCAGTAACATAACACTGCTGAAGAATAAAAGTAAGACTATTAAAGCTGAAGCAGTATAAAGAAATTTATTCAAAATAAACCATATTTTTGAGTAGACACTTCTAATTATGCCGTACCAAAAGTAGGAAAACATAATTCATTTTTATTTGCTTTTTTTAATACCAACATTTCAAAATTACGGCATCATTTTACTTTGTCGATCGATTGACAATACCAGCAAAGGAAAGAAGTCTTTCCACTGGCGCAGAGGAAGGAAGAGGCGTGTTGTATTTTAAAAACATTTTTTTATAAAAAGAAAGCGGTGCAAAGCATCAATGCTTCTATCATCGTCATTCAATTACAAAATTACTTCGGTTGCTATAGCTTCGCCATGGGAGTCTATATGTACATACATATATTGATTTTCACCTAAAAAAAGAAGTTATTTACAAAAATTTCGTAGGTTGGTTTCTTTTAATCGAACACCTGTGGACTCGTCTTCAAATTCGAGAAATGATGTATTAGCACTTATGTAAGGCTGTAAATTATTTTCTTCCCCTACCGGTTGTCTTTTAAACTGCAGCGTATAGTCTTTAACTTTATCTCGAACATCATCTAGTGTGTATAACTCAGCACTTTCCAGCAAAACTTTGCAAAATTTTAATTTGATGTCGGGAATGATGATTGCTGCAATAACTGCATCCCGGGAGTCAGAGTGCAAACGAAAATATTTTTCAAACCTCTCTAGTAACTTTGATTGCATTTGAATATTAATTTCCGTAAGCAATTTCAAGTTTTCGGAAGCTAAACGTCGCATTTTTATTTTGATGGACACGAAAGTAGGAATGAAATAGCCAAAGAACATATTTTGTTCTCTTTGAAGGAAGTCGATAGCTTCTGCGATAGGTTGCATTACTCTTGAATATTCTTCCAAATATTCAATTTCTTCCTCATTAAAAATAGAAATTTCCAGCGTGTAGCATAGTTCACCTAATCTGGTTTTGACTTCTATTAGCTTCTGAACCGAATCATACAGTGAGTTCCATCTTGTAACGCAAGGCGTAACCAGATACGAAGATAAAACTGTTTTTATTATTTCCGCAGATTTTGGCCTATTACATTTATTCCATAGTTTTGTACACCTGTATTAAGTAAAATGTAAAAAGTTAATACACATATAATAAGGGCACTCGTCAAAATTGCTGATTAAGGGCTGCACAGCACACTGCACAAATTTGCGTGACAAAATTGACGCGCAAAGTTACCCTTTTGTGCAAAAGACTTTCCATACAAATTTGGATATTTCATTTGCGAGGGTTTAAAATTGCAAAGTTTGTCCAGTTTTCGAGAGATTTGCGCTTTAAATGAGCACCCTTAATAAATTTAAACTCGAATTCTTATTTCTAACCTGTTGAAAGTAGCTTTATGAATGCTATGAACTGCCTGATTTGTTGAGCCATCTAATATTTTTATAAAATCGGTAGTGGCTAAAAGGTTGAGCGTATGGCTAGCACATCGAAAATGATTTGACAAAATTGGCGTATAATTGTGAAACTCAAGAAGTCGTGATTTATTTCGCTAGATTGGTTTAATGTCATCGTTTAGTTACACCGCCTATACATCAAGAAGCATTTTTATCAACAAAATAGTTGATAACTAATAGCGAACAAAATATAAATTCAAATGTATTTAGTTAAAGATCATGTTTCACTAAAAGTTTAGTGATAGTGCATTTTTTTCACTAAAAGTTTAGTGATATTGCATTCTTTTCACTATCACTAAATTTTCAGTGGTAATGGTTTTGCATTTTAACTACCACTGAATAAACAGTGGTAGTGCAATTTAGTGCTAGTGCAAAAATGCCCAACCCTGTAATGTTTACATATTTATATCAATTAAGAGCATGACAATGTCAAAAACTGCTGTCATCGCCGACATGTCGACATGAAGTTGCTCAGGAATTATAGAATTTTAAGAACGGTTTTCTCTAAATAATAGGATTGAACAAAACGCTATACAGCACACGTGGGAAACTAATATTTTCCATTAACTTGTATGTCTTTCCACACTCGCCGATCATGAGTAAGAAAATGTTGTTCCATACTTGTAGCAAATTTCAAGCCATCGCGAATTAAATCAGCCGTTAATAGCTGAACTTTGTCTTCTACCTTGTCATTATCGATTTCTTTATTTTCACAAACTGTCATAAATTCGATCAAATCATCTTCATCCAAAGGGCTTTCTCGCATCAATTCATCAATATCAGCCGTTTGAATGTTGTTAAAACCGTTGCCACCAATTGTATTTCATAAAGTTATAATTTCAGAACACACAGCTGATTTCTACTACAAAAGTTCCACTTTTGACGCATGCTGGCAATATTTTTTTCCAACAAGCATTTAAGGTTGATTGACTGTGTTTTATCTGTTACATCGGGACATAGCTAAAGGAGCTAAAGCCTTGTCAGTAATAAGATGAATAATACATAGCTACACTGTATGTAATTTACTGTCAAAGTAAATATCCACAACTTATTGAAAAAAAATTATTCGTAATGCCGTGCTCGCCCTACCAGTTGTGTGATTTTGAGTACATACATTATCTCGTTGCAGCGGCTTGAGTTCTGCCTTGAAATGGATTGATTACATATGCTTAAGACCATTAATTGATCGATTTTCAATTTTGTGTTCATACAATTATTGTATATAAAATGTATTATAGTGGAGTAGCTTTTATGTGGGACTGTGTCCTGTTGCTACCCCAGTGTGTGTCAATAAATAAATAAACCATTTTCGCCCTCTCGCTCGACCTGCATATCTTTATAGAAAAACAGTAGCATTAAGTGGTTAAACATTCAATATAAGAATTTTTCTAACATTTCTTTTGTTAGTTGATTTTTAACTCATAAAAAAGTAAAATATCTTATTTATCTATAAGTTTTATATTTACCTCTTCCCTTAACTTTCAGCCCTTATAACCGTTTTCAAACATTTTTGCTTCACATATAAAACAAATACCGTGACATATTTCGCCAAACTCGACAAGTAACGCCTAGAATAGAATTAATTCTTAGGGGGTAGTTAAACCCCACTACCCTCAAATGTCGTATATGCCTTACTTTACACAAAAAATTTTACTGTATTATCACATCATTCTTACGAAAAGTAGTTACATGTTAACCTTCGTAACATCGCTGCGATAGGGTGGTTTTTAAATAAATCCGAAAAAATAAGGGTAGTTCGCCCCTTTTTACCCTGTGGTATATGTATGATACATCAAATGAAAGCTTATTAAAACTGAAGAACAGTTTTAATTTATCAAATTTTGATATCACTTTTAGTTTTCGAAATATATGCAATAATGTACTTTTTCCCCAAACTTTCAACCCCTAAAACTCGTCTAACTAATTACTAGATTCTTTGTTGAAATAATTTTATTTGTTGGAAATAAATTTTTTAAAGACTTGATGGAAAAAAATTGTTGCTTTTCGCACCTCCAAATCCGACCCTGATTAACTGAACAAGTCAGACTACTTTGTTAAAAAAGAAGTCTTGCAAAATTACTACATTATCATTGTTGTTTATCACAGCTGCCTTACTTATCATTTTTATATGCGTTTTGCGTTAAAGTGAGACACTTTAACATCCGGTTGCATTCTTTTGGCGTTTTGTTACACTTTTGCGTTTATGTTACTTACAATTTTAATTTTTATTTTCTTGTATTTTTGGTTTTTCTGCATTACCACTTTTTAAGATACATGCACAAAAAGTTGTTTCACTATAAAATAAATAAATTATGCTTCATTGGATATAGGATGCTTGGAAAACGCAATTTCTTCAACAAAATGTGCGTAACATCTGCCCAGAATACATCCATATATTAAGAGTTCTCATCTTGATAATTTTTCTGTTTTTGTGAAAGTAATTATATAACCCAAGGGGTTTGTAAGTAAAACACAAGTTTTTCTATTTCAGTCTTTTTTATCTTACAACAAATATTTTACATTTACAAGTTAAGCTACAAACGACAACAGAAGTTTTTCGTGTTTCTTAAAGAGGAAAAGGCGTAATTAGAAACTTGTAAAAGTTTTCAAGTGGTGGTCATCTTCATTATAATCTTTTTATTTTTTTATAAAAGTGTGTAATTTTCGTAATAATCAGATCGCCTATTTATGATGTTTTTCAAAGATTGTTTTAGGATCTACTTAAATATTATCAGAGATATCACATTAAGGGAGGGGGATGGGGCTTTACATTATCTTGCTTTATTTCTTTTTATCTTTTATATCTTCTTAACAACAATTGTTTTAATGTCCTTTATTCCTCAATATTAATGCGTATATAATTTATGTTTTTTTTTTCGTCTAAGTGGTGTGTAAGGCAACACATTTTGTTTGATCAAATAAATAACTAAAGGAAAAGTATTTAATAAACGATTTTTATCATAGTTCGTTTCATATTATTTGTATTAGCTTTTAATTTAATTAATTATTATAATAAAACTAATATATTAGTCAAAACCTTTTCGTTTTGTTTGACAATGTTAATAATTAGTTATATTCAAGGTTTTGTTACAATGAAATATCATATTCGTTTCGATTATTAAGAATTACAAATTAAATTAAAAAACGTTATAGAAAAATTAAACGAAAGCTTATTTCAAGAACAACATGACGGTGGTTCATTCTTCTTGATTTTTTTTTTTAAATATAATAGCATGAAATCTAAAGTTACTTCTTAAAATCTAAAACTAATTAAAAAAAAATTAAATACAGTATAGGTACATCATAGAATAATTCTATGAGATACGTAATTCCATAGGAAGTAACATGAGAAATGACAATAGCGAGCGACGACTTGTCCATTTTAGTTTTCTCTTTTCTTACGACTCTTTCTGTTAGCGTTTTACACCTCAATGTAAATGTTCAACAATTTACACCTTTGCTTAACATTCTTATTACAGTCCTTGTTCATACTACTACTGCTTATATTATTGGGATTAGGTAAAAAAGGGTTGAAAGGGTACTTGGTAAAAAAACCTGAAAATAAAAAAGAAATAAAATTAATTAAGGTCGAAAAAACTTGAATTAAAAAAAAGAAACAATAATAAATAAGTATAAATTAAAAAGAGATTATTATAATATAATAAAGTTGAAAAGGTTTATTTAGGTTATGGGAAGAATTTTATTTAATTCTTTTTAAATTAAATTATTTTCACATCAATTTTTTTAATCATCATCAACATCAAATCTCAATATTTTTTATCATCTTCATTTTTATTTAATTTTTTTTAAATAGAAATATATCTATTTGATTGTACTAGAGGACTTATTGTTTCCTTTTTCTTTCTTTTCACTTTTTTTATCATGCAACATCAAAACAAATTTTTAATTAAACAAAAAGAAATTTTTCTTTTACAAAATCGGTGGTAAAAACGTACCAGAATCGTTCAAATTTGAATCTATCGAAGTACTACTATCGTGCATCTTGGTTTCCACGATTTTGGCCTTCAATTTATCACCAGTTTTTGGCGGAACAGCCACCGCCGTTGCAGTCGTTGTCACAGAAGCAACACACTTATGTGGTCTTGGTGCGAAACTACTTCCCGATGTTCGACTCCCACTCGAATGTGAATATCCACCAGCGCTGCTCTCATGGGTTACACTTGCTTCCGATTGACTATGCCGCAAATCATTCGATTTATGATGATGATTCGAGGATGATGAGGTTGCTGATTGAATCCATTCGTGCCGCAAAGCCTCATCTGGTGTCATCCGGTTCTTAGGATTCCATTCTAAACACCGTGTTATAAAGTCAATGAAGAGATGATCGTTGCAACGTAAAACTAATGGTAAACTTTTCGAACCCGGGATGCGTTTTCGACCTTTTGAATTTGTTGTACAACGTGGGTTACCACGAGAATCTAAAAATATTTATAAAAAGATTTAGATTAAAAAAATTTGTTGATTGAAAATTGATTTACCAAAAAATAAACGACGCCTTGTTGCCGCTGCGATAATATCATCAGGTGGTGGTGCCAAAACTTCCATTAAACAAGCTAATTGTTCTAATTCATTTTCACCAGGAAATAGGGGATAACCGGTATAAAGTTCTGCTAAGATGCAACCTAAAAAATTAAAAGAAAAAAATTAAAATAATGACTAATTTTTTTTTGAACTTTTTATTTAAGCATATTCAAAGCGATAGTATTTCTTGGGTAATTTCTCCCACACTTTCGCGGCCTCTTAGGGCAAGTGTAGTTGACACCGAGTGCACGTGGGCGACCTAATGCAATTCCGAATGGAGGGCCCACGTAACCTCACGACGTGGTCGTCGTAGTTGTAGTCGTGGTCGCGACAGCTGCAGCTGCCAGCTGTTGTTGGTGGCCCCGAATCTATTGAAAACCCGGCCGATTTTGCTGCTACAGTTTCAAAACAAAGACCTTTCTTGTCGAGTCTGAACTCGAGACAACTTCCACAGCACCTGCTTTTCTTATTTTTTTGTTAACTAACTATGTATTATAGTAGTATTCCATTGGAGTCTGATATTATTACTTAATACCATGCTATTTTAAACAATTAATTATTTTTATAAATTTTTTATAAGTTCATGAAGTTGACTAAATCTTTTTCTCTTCTTAAGAGAAGACTAAGACTTGTTTTTGATATGGAAGCAAAATTACGAGGATGAACAACAAAAGAGAAGAGAAGAACTTGTTGACAAGCTCCCCTACTAATGCACTTGTCTGTGAAGAAGTGTACCCAAACAAAAATAAACTACATTCAGGACACACCAAAAAGCACAGAAATGTTTAATGTTCCTAACGAAGAATTTCGAATTACTTAACAATTGATGTACGGGTATCTTGAAGGCCAGATTTGTAGAAAAACAGAAAATGGAGGACAAAAAGTCAGTATCAGGAAAGCTCTTCAGGAAAAGAACTTCTACGATCAATACTATCGATGAAGACATAGATAAACATAACCGTGTGGATAGATTTAGACTTTTAAATATCATTAAAAGTTACCTGAACGCAAGATATATACGAGATATTTATTAGTTCGACTTATAAAAACTAGAGAGAAATAGAAAATAAAACAGAACTTAAATTTTGATTACAATAATGACAGACATCTTAATTATATTGTCAAAAAGGAAACATTATTTGCTCGTAAGACATTTTTATACATGGAAAAACTTCGTTCCACAGTTACTGAAGTTATAGCTGTAAAAATAACAGTCTATTCTTTGTATATTTCTCTGGATTCTTTACACAAACTTATCGAAATTTCCTTTAAAATGGAAAAATCATGATTTTTTAAAATGACCATAACAATTTTCTCGACTAAGTCAGCAACTTCACTGTTTATGCCATGCTATTAAGTCCTGAGCATGTGTCAGTATATCAGTCTGTGTAGAAAGAGAAAAACCAGATGCTTTCTACACATACATCCATAATTTGTTGTAATGAAAATCAAGTCTGATTTTATTGTTATCATCTTTGTATGATGTATCAAACACATCAATTTTTTCGAGGTTCGTTACCACTTCAATCATGTTCCCCATCGAGTAGGTAAGTCCCTCAGTAATAAAACTGAGCGAATGTTGAATCATGTAACGAATCGACAGTCACTTACTACAAGGAAGAAAATAAATACAAAAAAGTGCAGCAAAAGATAGATGAAAGGCAGACTAGAGAAGAAAACAAACACGTATAGGTCAAGAAGAAGATAGTTGAAGAGATAGCAGATGGCGCCTCAAGGCAATTTTAAAACATGTTAAACTAGCTGCATTGTAAACAACGGCAGGAAAATCGTTCCACAACGCAATCGACTGCACTGTAAAAGATCTGTGGTAGATTTCAGTACTATGGACTGTAAATATGAGTGTAGAGTCCGACATTGATCGGATGGGTAAGTCATGTGATGCTAAAAAGTGAAAGGCATCAGACAAATAAGCAGGAGTGCGGGTATGGACAATTTTGTATAGTAAGCCTACGAAATGATCTACGACTCTGGCAAGTCATCATCTGCAGGTTGTTACGATATGGAGTAAAGTGCTGAAACTTTCCTAAATCAAAAATGTACTGTATACAATTTACCGTGAAGGGCTGTGGACAGATCGAGATGCAGCATCGGCATAATCAATGTGTGGGAAAATGAGGGAATAGCAAAGATTACGACGTACAACAGGAGGAAGATAGCAGCGAAGTTTTGTCAAAGTATGGAAACAGAAATAAACCCTCCTACAAACTTCCTGAACTTGTGGCCGCCAAGACATCGCTGAATCCAATACCACACCAAGATTTTTGACCGTATTAGAAAACGGAATAACGGTGTCGCCAAGCCTCAGTTGAAGGGTAGTTAAGGAATTAAATTGTACCAGAAAGGGGCGAGTGCCAAATGCAATGGCTTGCGTTTTATCTGGATTCAGGTACGCTAGAGAGATCGTTGTTAAGATGCAACAAAGCATCTGGGAGGTTGTTAACAGTTGACGAAATATAGAGTTGAAGGTCATCTGCATACAAATGTTAGTTACACGAGATACCATCACTAATACTATTTATGAAAATTGAGAAAAGCAGAGGACCTTGCACACTGCCCTGGGGAACTCCACATTTGATGTCAACTGGAGAAGACAGTACAGATTCCATGCGGACACGATAGGAAAGGTAGGACTGGAACCAAGATACACAAGAAGAGGTAAAACCAATAGCAGAGAGCCTAGTTAACAGGAGGGCATAGTCCACAGAATGAAAGGCCTTACTAAAATCAAATAACATTAGCAAGGTAATACAACGCTTATCACAAGCAGATCTAATATCATCGGTTATCCTAATCAGTTCTGTAGTAGTACCATGCCCTCCACGAAAACCAGGCTGGCTTCTATCTACGCTGTCTTTTGACACAGCGTAGATAGAATAGAAATGGGTCGAAAGTCACCAACATGGGACGGAGATTTAATTTTTGGGATAGGAATAACATGGGCGATTCGCCAGATAGAGGGAACTATAGACTGTTCAAAAGAACAGTTGAAAATATGTGTTAAGGGAGTAATAACTATATCCAGAATGGGTAAAAGGAATCTGAGTCCAATACCATCTGTACCGACACTAGTGGACTTGGAGTAAGTTAAACCATCCCGGACCTCAGCATCTGTAACCAAGCTGAAAGAAAGGGAAAGCACGTTGGTAGATGCAAGGAGTTCATTAATAGTATTCTGCCTAGTTATGTTACCAACCGCTACAGGAAGATCCGCAAAATACTCCGCTAGAGCAGCAGCATCAAGAGTGGGTTAATCTGTGGGAGACTCTATAACACCAAGTAATCGCATTATTTCCCAAAATGTCTTATTGTAACGTTTTTGCATCGATGATTAAAACGGTTGCGCAGCACACGATAATGTTCCTGAGAGACCTAATCTCATCATTTAACCAAGGTGCCATTTATCATGTAGGGAGCAATATCTGATACAAACAGTAAAATCATGTCTCTATTAGAGTTATCGAAAAGTCTTGTAATAGTGCTCTGGTTCGCTTTATTAAGTACGGCTGTATAAAAAAAATTTTTTAGTCAGTTCATCATGATCCAAAATACCAATGATGATACTTGCCTCAAATCTTCCCGTTACATCGGTTGTTTTGTCGATTGAAATCCATAAGAAGCAATCTTTGATGCATTTCTGTATGTGGTCTATGGTAATTTTGTAAAGTTCTTCAACATGCNGCGACCCTATGTTTATATAAAAAACTTGTATTATTTTGGCAAGTACTACGTCCTAGTAAAGTTTCCCGATTAAAAACTGAACCACCCTGTATATGTACATTCATAACAAATGTAGACATCAAGGCATTTTTAAAACTTATTAAACTAGCTGCATTGCGAACAACGGCAGGCAAATCGTTCCACAACGCAGTCGACTGCACTGTAAAAGATCTGTGGTAGATTTCAGTACTATGGACTGGAAACATTGTAGAGTCCGACATTGATCGAGTGGGTAAGTCATGTGATGCTAAAAAGTGAAAGACATCAGACAAATAAGCAGGAGTGCGGGTATGGACAATTTTGTATAACATAGTAAGTCTACGAAATCATCTACGACTCTGGCAGTCATCATCTGCAGGTTGTTACGATATGGAGTAATGTGCTGAAACTTTCCTAAATCAAAAATGTACGGTATACAATTGTTTTGAAGTTTTTCCAATTTACCCCGAAGTGCTGTGGACAGATTGGGATACGCACCATCGGCATAATCAATGTGTGGGAAAATGAGGGAATAGCAAAGATTACGATGTACAACAGGAAGAAGGTAACAGCGAAGTTTTTTCAAAGTATGGAAACAGAAGTAAACCCTCCTATAGACTCCCTGAACTTGTGGCCGCCAAGACATCGCCAAATCCATTACCACACCAAGATTTTTGACCGTATTAGAAAACGGAATAACGGAGTCGCCAAGCCTCAGTTGAAGGGTAGTTAAGGAATTAAATTGTGCCAGCAAGGGGCGAGTGCCAAATGCAATGGCTTGCGTTTTACCTGAATTCAGGTTAAGTCCATGACATCTAGACCAGTCAAGTACGCTAGAGAGATCGTTGTTAAGATGCAACAAAGCATTCAATAGCAATAGCAGAGCCTAGTTAACAGGAGGGCATAGTCCACAGAATCAAAGGCCTTACTAAAATCAAATAACATTAGCAAGGTAATACAACGCTTATTACAAGCAGATCTAATATCATCGGTGATCCTAATCAGTGCTGTAGTAGTACCATGCCTTCCACGAAAACCAGGCTGGAACTTGTTAATCAGATTAAACTCCTCAAGATATTTCTGAATCTGTATTCTATCTCTCTGTCAAAAGACAGCGTAGATAGAATAGAAATGGGTCGTAAGTCACCAACATGGGACGCAGATTTAATTTTTGGGATAGGAATAACATGGGCGATTCGCCAGATAGAGGGAACTATAGACTGTTCAAAAGAACAGTTGAAAATATGTGTTAAGGGAGTAATAACCATATCCAGAATGGGTAAAAGGAATCTGAGTCCAATACCATCTGTACCGACACTAGTGGACTTGGAGTAAGTTAAACCATCCCGGACCTCAGCATCTGTAACCAAGCTGAAAGAAAGGGAAAGCACGTTGGTAGATGCAAGGATTTTATTAATAGTATTCTGCCTAGTTATGTTACCAACCGCTACAGGAAGATCCGCAAAATACTCCGCTAGAGCAGCAGCATCAAGAGTGGGTTAATCTGTGGGAGACTCTATAACACCAAGTAATCGCATTATTTCCCAAAATGTCTTATTGTAACGTTTTTGCATCGATGATTAAAACGGTTGCGCAGCACACGATAATGTTCCTGAGAGACCTAATCTCATCATTTAACCAAGGTGCCATTTATCATGTAGGGAGCAATATCTGATACAAACAGTAAAATCATGTCTCTATTAGAGTTATCGAAAAGTCTTGTAATAGTGCTCTGGTTCGCTTTATTAAGTACGGCTGTATAAAAAAAATTTTTTAGTCAGTTCATCATGATCCAAAATACCAATGATGATACTTGCCTCAAATCTTCCCGTTACATCGGTTGTTTTGTCGATTGAAATCCATAAGAAGCAATCTTTGATGCATTTCTGTATGTGGTCTATGATAATTTTGTAAAGTTCTTTAACATGCTTTGTACGAAAAGCACTTTCCAATGTTACTTTGTACTTTGTGTATGTTTCCAGGAACTATACCAACATATTGTTTCGTATTTTATATAGAAGTATATCAACGGAAACATGACGTTTTGCGTTATATAATATTTTTGCAAATTGGGCATCTTTTAATTTAGACGTGCATCATGTGCAACATTTTTTTTTCATTATTTCTGGTAATAATTGCTATACATATGTGTTATACTTGCTAAATGCTGTTTTAGAGGGAATATTTTCTCGACTGACAATGATTTGTTTTCAGCATCTTGTCATCAATTATTACTGATTCGGATAGTTAAGGGATGCAAAATAAGGAGTAGAACAAAGTGTAGATCATTTTGCACGACTGCATCTGTGAAATAGAAGCTAAGGCGATGGTTGTGATTAGGACCATCTTCTTCTGGACCTAGATCTTTAAGCGTCGTAGTCTTCAGAATTTTTATCGATTTAAACGACCACATATTCTGAGCAAGGAGAGTGGATATTATTCCCCGAGGAATTGAAGTAAGAACATTTTTCCTCAGGATACACCAGCTTTCGATCGCTTCATCCACGATGCGTTGCAAATAAAGTAAATAGAAGGAGACTACTTAAATGTCTCAAAATACATCGAAAACAATACCAAGGAGAACTTAAGAGATGGGTTAAAATATGATTTTTGACATTTCTTTTTATCATTAAAATTGAAAATTAAAAGTTGACCGGGTAACAGGCCGGTCAAATCATCAACTTGATCTCGTAAAGGGCCATAAAAGGCACTTTAGATTTGATAAGAGAAAAATGTTATTATACCAAGACTTTATGTATTACTTGTGCAATAATTTATTTACTTAATTTTTTAATTGCAAATACTTTGAATAAACTTGTACTTTGTACTTTTGTTAAAAGAGCACAGAATTTAATGTGCTTCGAAAATTTTATATACGCAACTTACCACACACTATCAAGAAGTAATTGTGTTGTGTGTGTTGTGCGCACTGCTCATTGGGATGTGCAATATGTCCTTAGTAGGTTTGAATAGGTTGTTCTAACAGGTGTAATAATAAAATATATATTTTTTTCCAGCGTTAAGGAGAATGTAAATGGTGAAGCTTAGCCTGGTTCTAATTTAAATATAAACGATGAAATTGGACCTGATCCTACTTTAAATATAGGTGAAAGTGTTGAGATTGGTCTTAATTTAAATGGTTTTGGTACAAGCGTCGTCGCTTCACCACGGTCGCCAACACCAGTAAGTAAATGCAAAAGGATGTGAGGAAAGAAAAATGAAAAACATAAGCGGAGCAAGAAGATTTTACCTAAATATATGCTAAACATATAACAGAAAAATAAGTCAGTTCAATCCGTTTACCAAGAAAATACTAACTTAAAAAATAAATAATTTTATTTTTGGGTAGAATTGTGAAAACTTGGTGCTACTTCGTATTTCATTACAAAGTAACTCAATCAAGGCATCCACACCATCTTTAACAATATCAATTAAAAATCTTGTATGGATATTCTTAAAAAGTTCTTACAGTGCCTTTCATCTAGCGATACAATGTTCAATAAACGTTCTGCTTTGGTGCAAATGCTTCATCCAATAAAGCCTTTTCTGCTATGTTTTTAATTAAATTGTGCGTTATTATGTATGCAGCAGAATTTCTCTTCCATGCAATAACTTGATGGGATATCCTCTAACTATAATCCATATACAAATCTTGTGCGTCGCAAATTCCTTTGATGTACACGAGCAAACCGACAACCGACAACAAATATTTGTGTGTGAGCTTGCATGTCAAAGCGTCCTCATTACCATGCGTATAAACCGCATACAATGCATACAGTCCGCATAACGCAATTTTTTATTTATATGAACCTGAAGCTTTAGATATGTAAAAGGTTGCGCACTTCAAACTAAGTCATATAATTTATCGGTTCTCGATGTAGCAAGTGGTAACCCTATAGAACGACTATGTTAACACTTAATGTAACGTTCATTAACGCTCATTACCTACCAGTCTGTTTACAAATACATAATTGGATTCGCATACACCTATTAGAGCATAATGCCCGCAACATAACCCTTAACCCTATCTAAAATTTCACACTAAAATGCCTACGAAGAATTCACCTACTTGTTTTCACTAATCATTCACATTGACCCATTAATCTGATATTGAAGAAAACTGATTCTATCAGTTTGAAGACAATGATTGCAGAAGACAATGATTAGTAAAAGCATAGTTAAGCTAATCTAACGACTCAAATGTAATAGCAGGAATTAAAATTTTAGCAAAACTTGCGTTTATTTTAGTCGTACAATCAATATTTAGCATAATAGGTATTATACATGAAGTGAACCTAAGTTATCAGAGTTAACAATTTAACATCGAACCTCTAACAACAAATTATTAGATAAAAGTAATCAATTCGCGACTGACTCCACCAACTCAAAAACAAAGTACAATGACGTCCCAATAAAATTATTATTAGCCAAAACAAAATTATTTTGAAAACATCTTTTAGTTTTTAAGATAAAAGTAAATAACTTTTCATCAATAAATTAATAAGTTAAAATAAATTGTTTAAGAGATAAGTAATCGTTTTTTAGGAAATCTAAATTAGTTATAATTTCAGCAATTTCAATTTTGTGGTGATAACGAATGATTTATTTATTTATTTAATATAAAATATAAGGATTTTGAACTTACCCAAACTCCACATATCAATAGCTGTCCCATAAGTAAGTCCAAGAATAACTTCCGGAGAACGATAAAATCTTGATTGTATGTAAGTGTAAACCCTTTGATTCGAATAACATGAACTTCCAAAGTCTATGACCTTGATGCTGCTAGAACCGCGTTGTTTTAAAAGGACGTTTTCCTATGAGAAAGGAAACGATTAAGAGGGGTGATTTCTAAATAACTAGGCAAAATTACATTTCGAACACGCGAACATGTATGAAAGTATCGCAAAATGCCTCTTTAATAGCCACTTGGCCCTTACCAATACGACTTGAAAACCGGGCCGAAGAAGCGTTATTAATGCCTCATGGGGCCATCATTAACGTTTCCTCTGTTTCTAAGAAGACCGTGTTTTGCTTGGTTCGCGTGTCTCTGCACGGGTTCGTGGAAGCAATTAGGAACTTCAGTCGGAAAAGAGTCATCCCGATGATGTCACGATCACGGTCGCGAGGAATTAATAAGAATATTTGAATGGTGGGCGAAGAAACCACGAAAGATCCACGAAGGAAGCACGAATCAAGCACGAAAGACGAGTTTAAATTGATAAAACATTGGGTGTAGAATTATTTTTATTTGTTTTTTGGGGTCAAAGATCCTATAAAAAACCACAAGTTTTTGAGGTTAAATCTATTAGAATAAAGTTGAAGTCAATGTATCAAATGTTTTTAAAGATATTTTAAGATTAGGAATGTTCAGAAAATAGACTTCTGTTTCCTGTGTTTGGTGAAATTTAATTACGGCACGTGTAAGGGCGATTACGCAAAATATAGATCGTGGCGCGAGTGGTGTGTGTATTTGTTTTGATAAAAGTTGGAGCCACGATGATAATATACACACGCGCGAATTCAACGATAGCACGAATCACAATACACAATTATATTACGGCAACCAGAAACCAATTCTGGGATATTAATAAAGTGATAGATAATAACGAAAAATAAAACACTCACCGGTTTTAAATCGCAATGAATTATATTTTCCTTTTGAAGAAGCCTTAAACATTTCAATAATGAAGTTGCAAATCTTCTTATTAGATTTAAACTAAATCCTTGATAGTTGTTTTTCTTGATGAGTTCATATAAGTTCAAACTGTAACAAAAAATTACCGCATTAAATTAATTAATAGATAAAAATAGAATAGAATATTTTTACCTCATCAATTCAAAACTGATACATAAATGGTTTCTAAAATAAAAATACTCCAACATGTGAATAACATTATGCGTAGCTTCTTTGTCCCTTTTTCTCAGATGATCCAAAATTCTTACTTCGACCAACGCTTGATGATGGAACCGCTTTTTATTCCTAATGATTTTTATGGCAACATGCTGATTGGTCATATGGTCGAGAGCTCTGATCACCTGCCCGAAGCTTCCTTTTCCTATCACCTCCAATATCTCGTACCTGTAGGCGATCTGGTCGTGAAGAACCTGCGAATAAAAAAGATGATCCTGAGAAACGAGGCAAGAGAGAAAGAGAAACGGAGAAGACGCAAATGAACAAGATAATAGGGCCGTGAATAATGCGTGCAAACAAAGTGGATTTCTCGGGAACGGACGACCATAATTCTCCTGGAGTCCTCCCATTAAATTTGCTATAAAATTAGACTGCTGCGAGTGGTATTTCTATTATTGTTACTGGTATGTAATATATCAAAAATTAAATGGGGAATTTATAGAAGCAAATAAGATTAATCGAAAGTTCAAAAAAATTTCAGGAAACTATTTTTTTTCTTCTTTTTTGAGGTGAATTAATTGATGGTAATTTTCACCCATAAAATGTATATAAGGGAATCTTTAACAGTGCGGAGATTTCGTCGCATGCGTGACCTACATTTCACGGTTTGTACAGTTTTGAAACACTTTTACGATACTGCGGACGATTATTCAACATAATAATTACCATTTAACACGAAAACTAAATTGTTAGGTATTAAATAAAAAACTTCATAAACCTTAATACAACCACAAAAAAAATGAAATTGCACATTAAATTATTGACTTAAAATCAATCAACTTTCAACGACCATCACGATTTTCTCGTTTTTACTATCTCGTTTAATCTCTCTCATAAAAATAAATATCACATCAAATTAATTTGTAAAGCAAACTCGTAAAATCGGTTTATATGTATATCTAATCGATCTGTGTCGGTTAGAATTTGAATTTCGTCTCGATTTAAATTAAACGTGCAACTTTAGAACCATCCCCTTGAGAGAAGAGGAGAGATCACATAACTTGGAGTCAGTCAACTTGAACGGCAGCAAGACCGAAAACTTTACACGACAACGCTCGTACGGTTCTATTTTCGACGAAACGTTCCAAACTATTCACCACCCTGTGACTCAATCTCGATATCCCAACACTGAAACCGTCTCGTAAACTTAACATTTAGCAAACGACGAAAACCAGATACGTAACACGTTTTAAATTAAATACCGAAATGTATACACAAAAACTTACGGCAGGTCATATACGTTTATATATAGAATGTTTCTTTTTTTGTAGTAGTTCTATATAACTATTGATGATAATAATAAAGAAGGCATGTGGATTAGGCCGGTATTACACTATCATAGTTCTATCATAGATCTATCATTATATATCTTTCGTTCAATAAAAATACACCACAATCTAACGCTAAATAACAATTAAAACTAGAAATAACATTAGAGTTAGACCTAGAAACATTCGGGTTTACACGTCTCTCAAAATGGTTAAAACCGAATAATTTTAGTTCTAGGTCTTGTGTTAGTTCTAGTAATAGTGCTAGTGTAAAACTAGAACTAACACTAGACCTAGAACTAGAAACATTCGGGTTTAGCCGCACGTCTCTCAAGACGGCTAAACCCGAATGATTCTAGTCCTAGGTCTTGTGTTAGTTCTAGTGATTGTGCTAGTGTAAAACTATAACTAACACTAGACCTAGAACTAGAAACATTCGGGTTTAGCCACACGTCTCTCAAGACGGCTAAACCCGAATGATTCTAGTTCTAGGTCTTGTGTTAGTTTTAATGATAATGCTAGTGTAAAACTAGAACTAACACTAGACCTAGAACTAGAAAGTATCTGGTTTAGCCGTCTTGAGACGTGCGTCGTTTTTCCTGCTTTTTACGTTGCTTTTACAATAATAAACATATTGTAATTATTGAATTCAAACAGGTACCTACCAAAGCCTAATCCATTTTGTATAATAATATGATCACAATATGATTACGTAGTATAAATCGACGACATATTTTTCGTAATATTTACTCGTTGAACTTTATATTACAAATATTTGATAATAGATCTATAACATAGAACTATAATAGTATAATACCGGCGTTAACGAAGAAAATAAATACTAATTTACTACTCAATAATTTAACTAAAACTGATAAATTTGGGATCTCAAATTGCACCGTTTCTTTCATTAATATTAAAACGTCTTGTTGAGAAATCTCATCACTCGACATTTCTTGAACATGTTTTATTTCTTCATTAACTTGTCGACATCGTCTTCTTGTTTTGTGACCTTCTCGTTCAACAGCTTCGATTTTTCACTATATTCAGTTTTACGATCAATGGCTGAATGGTTGGCTTAATATCAAACAATTTGTTCTATTTTTTTGATTAACCGTAGTCATAAGATCAATCACTGTTTGTTCTAAAGAATGAATCACGATTTTTCGTCTTAACATTGAACTACATGACAAATATATCCGTGAAGTGCTTAAAAATACGGAAATGATTAGCAGTTTGATTTCATCCGTTGTTGATTCACGAATTTCTTAGAATGTTTAATATTGTTACTTTCTCATTTACTAACATTTTCCTAGTGTTGTAAATTTATCAAAAATTACTTAAGGTGTATGAGGTATATAACAATCATTTTTTGGTATATTTTTTCCTATTTATATGCTTCTTTATATCGTTTAATTCTCTCACACGTTAACATCGGCTTATTGCTATATAAATCATTCTTACATCAGAAATAGTTCCAGATTCTATTTTGAATTATTAGATTTTCGACATTTAAGATTTGGTATTTCTAGGTTATCTCCATCTCTTAAACTTTAATCACCTTCTCCATCACACAAATCCTCTCTTCTACATAAAATAAACTTTTGAGAAAGATATTGCAGTTTATAAATGACTCTTTAAGCTTTCATTTCATTTACTTTTTACTATGTTCCTTATCCTGCACTTTCATTCATTTAAATTCCTTACTATCGTTGGATTCTTTACTTGGAAAGTTTCATCTTATTATTCGGTTTCAAAACTTTAAATAAAATCTCTATTATGACTATCTGACGTTTTAGTTCTCCAAATGTGTGGTTGTGGTATATTTCGAAAGTATCACAAGTATCTTGCATATAGATGATCTATATGATTTATATCTTTCACGTAAAACACTATCTTCCAATGAATTACAGTTGGGCGAGGATATTGCTTCCTACCTCTTGCATACAAATTGTCCAAAATATTGCCTAATGATAACTATACTTATTAATTACTTCATTTCCTGTTTTTGTATTTATTTCAGTAATGAGCTTGTGACCGTACAGAAACAAAATCACTCAAAATTCTCAGCCAGCTCAATCAATTTACCATTGTTAGAAATGTACATTTCTAAGATTTCGAGAAGTACAAATTCCCATGATGCAACATCAGAATTGTTTCAATAAAAATCTTATCATTGTTCTATAGAATAACTGTTGATTAAACAGATACTTGAAAAAGAAAGAAACTGGGCAGAGAGGAAGGTAACTGAAAAGAGACTGATAATATGAGAATCTTATTGAACAGAGACTTGAAAAATAAAGAAGAGACTTAAAACTGGAAAAACAGGAATAAACAGGAAGGAAACTAGAACGAGATTGGTAATGATAAATAAGAACTAGAAAGGGAATACAGCACCTGAATACAAACTGGAAATAGATTGTGAAGACATGATATAGACTAGACAGAAAAAAAAAGAGAAACTGGGCGTAGACCAAGATGTCCGAAAGGAAACTAAATAGAGAGAAGGTAGAAAAGAAGGAGACTGATAACAGAAAGAAGGATGACTTATAAAAGCAAGAAGGGGCTATACAGAGAAGATTAAGACTGGAAAGTAGCTGATAATAAAACCGAAAAATTGAACAGAAATTGAAAAGAAAAAAATGAGACTAAGCAAAGAGGATGGAGAAAGAGTCTGGTATACCAGGAAAGAGATTGGCACCGCAGAAACGACACTGGTACAGCAAGAAAGAAACTAAGTAGAGACTGGAAAGATGAGAAGACTGACAGATCTAGTTAAAAAATTAACGGGGACTGGAGTGACAAAAAAAGATTGGATAGAGAGGATGGAGACTGAAACGAGACTGGCAATAACAGAAAGACACTGATAATAGATGAAAGAAAAACTGAAGCAGAAAAAAGAGACTAGTCAGCGGGAAGGAACACTGAAAAAGAAACTAACAGGGACTGAACACTCTTGTTGGAGAAAGAGGGTGACTTGTAAAGGCTAAAGAAGAGGCTAGACAGGCAAGATAAAGACTGAAAAGTGTCTAGTCATAATAGCAGGAACATGAACAAAAATTTGAAAAAGGGAAATGACGGTGAGTAGAGAGGAGAGACACTGAATGAAAAGGAAAGAATGAGACATACAGATGAAAAAGCATGGAAAACTATTTAAAGAATCTAATTGACTGCCATAGTTTTTGGCAATGTATTTACGCAAAAATTGAGTGATTCCTTTCTAACTCTGAGACTTACTTTTAAACTATAATAGAAGTACGAGAACATCTTTTATGACATAAGCAACAATGGATGTCAAATTTCTTTTAATTAAAAATGGTTAAATTATATGTGTGGAATCATAGGAACATTCTGCATATACATTGTAAAAGGGCATCTTTTATGACCATTCCCTTATAACTTATTTCCCTGATATCTGTTCCCCCTTTTCAAATATTTAGTTAAAAACTAAGATAAGATGAAGGATTGAATAAAGTCTTTTTTATGGAAATTATAGTAAAAACGTATATTAAACGTGATGTACTTTTAATTGGTCCTCTTCATGGCATCTTTCCTATTTTAGAGCTTTTAAGAGCACTTTATATCATTTAGATTTTGAAATGCATTAACTAAATTAATCTCTCATTTATTTATTAACACTTCCTCAGTATCAATATCGACACGATACGTTATGTTTCTAAATCAATTCAGCGGTAATCATTGGTACTTCAAGATATGTTACACTACTTCCCGTAACACGATTTTAATTAAGTTTTCTATCTAATCGTTTTTCACAATGATAAAGGTTTATACAATATTCAACTCGTTGAATGAATCTAAAGTTACTTCATATGAAAAATTGTGCATTCAGATAAAGTACCACATAACCAGTTTGAATGAAATTTTATTTAAAATGTAAGTTCGTATGAAAACGATTTGATATGTATTCAGGTTAAGTGCTACTTCCGGTTGAAGGATTTAGTTGATACTGATCTATGGTACGATTTTAGCGTAATAACCGTAAACTAAATTTCGTTTCCCAGCTAATTGCGTTCCTAAGTTATCGTGTTTACACAGATATAATGCTAAAAATAGTTAAAGTAGATTCAGGGTCTCTGAATACGAATAGATCCATCAAAATTTCAAGGTTGAATTTTTGCACGATTACAATACTTTTACTTTATACATTTCGTTTATGCGAGAAAGTAAAAAAAACAATTAAATAATAATAATTAATACGGAGTCTCCAATTTCAACCCAACTTCTTTTATTTGAAATAACATTTTATAGTATTAATTGTTACTCGAATAAACCTGTGATTTAAGATAGCCCAAAACGAAGAGGTGTAAAGGTATTAAATAGCACCATCTCGTGCAGATGTCGCATGTAGCACCCTCTTTTTGGAAACACATGTCGTCGGTATCCATATCATCCAGTTTGGGCCATATGACGTTCGTTATTATGAACCTGTAGCGATTGCTGTTATGTGGTTATAGAAATGAAATTTTCGTATTGGGAAAAGTATAAATCGATGATTCCACCAGACTTAAATTCGCACCAAATAGTCACATTCTAGGGATGTATTTGGTGCTGGTGTATTTCGTGTGGACAGCCCAATTAGTAAATTTTCAGTGTTGTCTATGATCATTTACCTCAAGTTCCTTAGTTGGTTGGATTTTATATCAATGCAGTGCTAACTCCACCGCAAAATTTTTTATGTTAAATCGCAAAAAGACGAAGTACTTGTGAATTACGAAAAATTTACCTCGGAATACTCTCGCGCACAGAGAGATGTTTTCGGTAGACCTTAACGTTTTGGTGACATACGAGTTTCGGCTGAAAGTTTATTGAACCGATTGATTCGAATTTGGCTACTCTATATCGAATAGTCGACTCGCCAGAACGATTGTGGCAATGACAAAAATTACGTAAGGCGCGGAAAGTTTCTCGAATAAAACATTGATTTTGAAAATAGTACTTGATAATTTGCACACGTTGTTCAACGCAATAACCTTCCATGTCGATTTATAAACTCTAATGTCGCTTTAACAACATGTTATGGCCGATTTCAAGTATTGCTATTGAAAGATCCTTTATCTAATTCCTACATATTTGTTTTAAATGTTGTAATTTATATGTCTTAAAAACCTTACCTTGTTGTAACTTCCGCTATCATCATCGTAACCCCCATTTTGAGAACCTCCGTGTTCCCCATGGATTTTACAAGCATCCAAACCCAAATACCATATTTTCGGAAATCTCTCAATTTCACTTCGCTCGTATTCAGTTAGTTTGTGGCCATAAAGCTTTAAAGCTTCTGCAAAACAAAAAATTTAAAATATTAATAAATAAAATATAATTATTTTAAAATATTATATTATATTTTTATACATAATGTATCAAAATTCTGTGATTAGCTCAAATTTGCATGATACTAGCATATACTCAAACTTATTTTCTAATTCAGCAAGTTTAATATTTATATGGGTTTTTCGACCTAAGCCTATTCATTTTATTTTTATTTGCTTGTTGATTATTTATTATCCTTAGTTACTTTTAGTTATTTTTTGCGTCTACTAATTTTTATATTGTTTATATAAACGAAAACCCACTTCATTCCTATTATTTGGAACCTTCAGAACCAATGTATGCTGTATTTGTTTTATCCCAACTTCTTCGATGATCCCATATAACTCATATCTTAGGTCATGATATACTTTATTAAGAGTAAGCAGCACACAAAATCTATAAAAAATCTGTTATAGTTGCTTTAACATATTTATAGTATCAAGTAATAGCGATCCGAACTGGTGAATGGCCTCATTTATATTCTTGGACGCATTCAAAAGTTTAAATTGAAGTCCTTCATGACAAATACATTGACCGAATCTAGAAGAATATCAGGACATGCCACAAATATGTTAACATCCGTAAATGGCAAGTCAAGATTCACTTGACGTTCTTCAACTAATGTTTAGTTAATTCAATGTGGTCATAATTATGTTTGTTAAGTAAGTATTACAAAATATCTCTGCCATATAACTCACCGCATTTTGATCTGCATAACCTTTTTCTGAGTTACATAGATGAATTTTTGCATGGTAACTTAGAATCTAACATGTAATTAATATCTATATACGTTAAATTTGCATATTTTTTGCACTAAATATGGTATTCCTCCAAATTACATTTGTTCAGCGCTATTTTCAATACTCTTCTAAATACTTTTATGGAAACTTTATTTGGCATAATTCATGTGTTGCGATGGAATAACCTTCAGGATGTCATCCAGTTAGAATTAGCATTAGTTTTAACTTCTTGATGTTGAAAAAAGAAGGCGGGTCTTTATCGTGACATATCGTATTCTGGCAACGTAGATTCTCAACAAAATCTGAGAGGGTTACTAATTAAAAACTTGCAACATGATGCTTTGATAGCGGTCCACGAAAACAAAACCGCTTGAGGAGTTTTCTGTTAGTGTAGATAGAAAATGCTCTTATATTTTGGATAAATCCGAAATGTTTGCGTTATGCTGTAAATTGAAGGTGATTTTTTTGAAAACAACACACATTGCAAAGCCTCGACTGCAAGCAACTTCCGCTAACATTACAATACAGATTGCACAATTACACTTGACGAAGCCCAGGTCACTTGTAGCCGAAGCAAATTAAATTATTCGAATCTCGGAATCTCGGCAATATTCATAAGTGTGAAACAGTAGTCCTGGAAGCCAGCTTTTCTCTCTAAGGCTTTGTCTTCGTCCATTGCTGGACCTAAACCTTTCGTAAACCTCATGGCCTTAAAATGTAGGTACTTTAAACTTTTGGCCAATAATTTGTCATGCTGGCCAGGCGGGTTGACTACTCCTTAGCAAAGGTTAGTAATTGATCGTGCAGTTCTGATTCTTCTTATGAGTTTTAATATCCCGAAATATGAAGTTTATCAGCTTTAAGCTGCGTGATACCATGACAATGTCTCAAGATGTCAATTCTCTTGCTCAAGTTGATTAAGGCGATACTGTTGATCGCAATTTGTTCTGTATTTTTTTTTGTACACCGAGCAGCTCAACGTGAACAATAGATTGAAGACCAAAATGCGCTTCTGAAAAGGAAGATGAGAGGAACGTCAAAAACATGGCCCCAAAAGTGGTTGTTGTGCTTTCCTGAAGTTATGTTAAGAGCGTCAAGTTATAGCAGTGGCGAAATTAAAAACAAATTGTGCAAAACAAAGAATCTTCATTTCAAGTTAATTCTCCATAACTGTTTATCCATGACACATTTTATTTGTTTTTACACTTGTCTTGACATCTAAAAGTGGTCACAACACAGCTTCACTTTTATTGTACCTCCAACACAAATCCATCGTTTCTTCTTAACCTTAAGGAAGATGTAAATGCTCTACATCTGATATTATGGAAGATACTTCAACAACTTTAATTCTAAGAGTGTTGGGTTGAATCAAATATCAAGAATGGGCACAAAAAGAAGTGAGCTAACATTAATGGTTGCAAAATGACTAGGCGAAAGAGTTGACTCAGCACGTACACACAATACGCGATGGGAAAGGTCCTTATATTGCCGGTAACTCTTATCAATTATATCATTATGAGATTGCAAGTGAAGATGTTCCTGGAGATAATCGTGTATTTGAGTGAATATGGCAAATTAAATAATATAATAGAAAGATTAACTATAATACGAAAATCACAAAGACAAATAGGTGTTTATAACTAAGCAATAAGCACGACTTGGACCAGTTTCGAAATAAATTGGAAAACATGTTTTCATGGAATAATTGAAAATATGTGTTGGAGAAGTTCCAACATCATTAATAATATCAAGTTCAGGTTGGAAAGGAAGTATTAATTTCATTTATATGTTCATAACGAACCCGAAATGAACGCAGAATATAAAGTAGTGATTTGAGATATGTCTGCTATGAGACTATTGAACTCAATTTTTTTAAGTATCTTGGAGAATACGACAAGAATCAATATGGGACGATAGTCATTCATGTTCTAAACACTTCCTTTTAGTTAGTAGGTATAAGTATTAACTACTTCAATAGTATTGGAAAAATTAATTGATCAAACATTGCATTTATCAATGTACAAATCAAAACATAATATTGCTACCCATCCTCTTGATGATTTGTTTATATATTGGAGTGGAAAAGATAACATAACAGCTACATAAACTTGTTATTTTTTCGATGGTAATAATTTTAGTCATTATATTAATGCATAATAATAATATACATGAAAGTGTGAACAACTTCAGAAGTCATTGTCCTTTAAATGCTAATATTTCTCCTGAAAATGTTGCGCATAGCAACGAAACCGGTCGAGTAAAATAATAAAAATAAAGTAATCTCAAAACCTACAAAAATTGTTTTATTTTTAATTAGAAAAAAAAGTTAACAACAAAATTATATTCTGATGTAATTTTAATGGTATGTCTCTATGTTGATTTCATTCACAACACTTCCGGTTAATGAATGCAAGAAAACGTCCTTGCCGTGCGACCAACTCAAAGAAATTCGCTCCGCTTGGGTTCGGTCTTTCTTATGCAATCGAGACATTCGTAGTTTGTGGCGTTAAAGCATTCCAGTAACGCCGTTCGCAATCGCTTAAGGACTCATTTGGCGACTTTAAAATGAGATGATAACAAGTTTAGCGTTCTTCAACGTCTTCGTTAACAACGAAGGCCCAGTTAAAATGGGTTGAAAAAAACAACCAACCACATTGGTCGACAGATTGCAAATTGCGGTTAACATCTGCTTCTCGGTTAAACTCTTATTATCTTCGATAGCGGACCATAGTTCGTCTTTAAGTGAATAACCGAAATAGTTTTAAGATTCTTTGAATTTATTATTATGAAGTAATTCATCTTAGTCATACCTTTTATATCTTTATGTTTTTAATTTTTGGGAAATACGATATGATTCATACTTATTTAAGCAAAAATTGAAAATTTTTACCTTGAGGTGTTAATGGAAGATTTGGAACACTATCCTCTTCTTTATTATTATTAGATGATTGGTTGTGACTCCTCTGGTTGTTATTTAATGAAGGAAAAGGATCTCTTGATGATGAAATTGGCGAAAGATCGTATTTCGTGCTACCGACTTGCAAATTTAATCTGGAACCGCTTTTTCCGTTTTCTAAAAGCGGTAACTGTAATAAAATAGAAAAAATAAACTGTCATTATTTATGAACAACATTTTCATTGAATTTTCCGCTCAATTAAGTATTCATTTCAGTGAATACTTTGAACATCAAAGGGTTAGAAGCGGAAGTCAAACGTTGTTTTTTGGGAAAGTCAGGCGGAAGCGAATGGAAGATAACAGGTCGATAAACGAATAAATGTAGGACGATGGGATCTCTATTAAAAAGAGGAAGAGGAAAAAAGAACAAAAAGAGTTCCATATTATTTCGATAACGCAATTAATGTATTTCCTACGAAAAATATGGTTGTAATATCGTTATCTAACACGAGTGGCAAATGACTAATTTAATATTTGCGATAACTTTTATTCTTTTCATTCGAAAAAAAGTGAACCACTTTGTACATAAAAATAATACACACAAACTACTATTAAACGAAATAGATAAGAAAATCCAATGAGTAATAATTCGGATGTGAAAATACGGTTTTCCTGAACACTTCATCAAAAATCCAACCTCGTTTATTTACGTTTAATAAATACTATTCATAAATATTAACGGTATTAATTCACACGGTTCTTAGAAATCGAGTTCGTTTCATGCTCGACCGGGAAAATGCAAATGATCGACGCCCGAGCTCCATTTGAAAAGGAAAATGATGGTAGAAGAAGAAAGTGGGTGTTTTGGGCTTGTCCATATTACCTAGGTTCACGTGCAACTCGTTGAGGCGCGTTTAATTTTTCTTAACCACAATTTTTTACGTTAATCTTAACGACTCCTCTATTCACTTACCTCAGAATTAATCAAGGACGTCTTCGACGACGATATACCGTTTCTCGAAGACACCTTCAAGTACTTTCCCGTCGACGACGATTGCGTTTTCGAGCCGTATTTTAATACGTCTTTATGATGATGCGAGGCTGGACTCTAAAATTAAAACGAAGAAAAAAGAAATTAATTATGACGGAAGATTTTTTTTGTATGTATTATAAGAATTATATACATTTAAAATGTTCCAATCAAAATAATTCATTTTTTGATTGGATTGTATTATTGTCATAATTATCACTGTTTTGATTGATGTCAAAATGAAATTTGGTTATGAAAATACAGTTTGATCGAAAATGTTTTGACTAAAATATTTTCAAAAATAAATAATCAGTTTTATAAAAAATAGTTGAAAATTATTTTCATTACATCTTCAACAACTTCAGCTACTTTTCGTGATATAATTGAAACTTAATTCATTTCAACACCATGATCTTACAGAAATGTGTCCTTTTAATAATAGTAACAAGCAACTTCTTATTGAACCTGAATCAAAGAAGAATCTGAAACTATAGCTTTAATGATGGAGAAGATAAGACATCACAAAAATCAATGAGTTAATCAATTAATTCTCATCTTGGGCAGTAAAGCAACTACACAAAATTTCCTTATTTTTGTGTCTTTAGAATAGCAGACCGAACAGGAATCATTGGGAGACAAAAGTGAGACTTATCAAGGAAAATATGATTGTTCTAAAATTATCCAAGATTATCTTTCCTATTTTGTACTGAGTAAGTAAGGAAAATGTATGGATATCAGTTGTTAAATAAAATTTGGGAACCGTAGGAATGATAATTTAATATGGTAATAAAATGAGAAAAGACAGGTGTGAAAGATAAATGTAAAAAGATTTTCTAACATAATACCAAAATGAAAAGTAACTGTGGACAAAGGTTTCTTAGCAGCTATAATTTATATAAAAGGAAATAAGAATGAACTACGCAGCTGGCTGAAAAAGTTGTGACTTAGTTCCAGCTCAAATTTGCATTTTGGAACGTTAACCGCTTTTTTAACGACTTTTGAAGAATGGTTTTATGGATTATCTCTCTTGATAAGACATGTTCATAAGAACAGAATTTTTACCTTCATCTACTACTAATATTAACCTAACTGCCACTACAGGACTAGACGTGGTCTCTATAAAACATACTAAACATCTTCCTAACCTATCTAATAGCTTGTACTGCTAAACTAGAAAACATAATCTGTTGTCAGTTCCCAAAGTTACTCTGAACAATAAACGAATGAAAGATAGGAAACCCTGCCATATTAACGTCTTGTCTCTACAAAATAACTGCTTGGCAAGAACAAAATAAAACAGCTACTTAATGTTGCAACACTGACTGGATGGCGTAGAAATAAAATTTTTGATATTGCAGCAAAATCAAAGATTTACAAATGTTACAATGATTCCAATAGCAAAAGAACACTACGTAATATCATGACCACACTGACTTATTAGAAAAAGTCTCTCTACAAATGTTATGTTTCAATGATCTAAAGAAAACCAAATTTGAAGTATGGATGACTCAGAAAGAATGGAGAATCTGCCTTCCACTTCAGGACTGGACGTGGTCTCCAATTCATATGAAGAAACATCTTCCCAATCTATCTAACAGCTTATACTGCTAAACTAGAACTGTAAGTAAAAGAAACTTTTATGTTTTTAGAACACATAATCTGTTGTCAGTTTCCAAAGTTGCTCTTAATAATAAACGAATGAAATATAGGAAAACCTGCCATATTAATGTCTTGTCTCTATAGAATAACTGCTTGGCAAGAACAAAATAAAACAACCACTGAATGTTGCAACAATGACTGGATGGCGTAGAAATAAAATCTTTGATATTGTAGCAAAATTAAAGATTTACAAATGTTACAATGATTCCAATAGTAAAAAAACACTGCGTAATATCAAGACCACACTGACTCATTAGAATAAGTGTCTCCACAAATATTATGTTTCTCAGAAACTCAGAAAGAATGGGGAATCTAAGAACCGAAAACATTTCTTCTAATTTTCTTATTTTCGGCGTTCCAGTTAAAACTTGTCCCAACATGTCCTACACATGTTTGTTGGTGAGTGTACCAACAACCTGTGAGAACTCGCTAGGGGCAATGATATTACTCTATAGCGAACAAGCTCGCCAAAGACGCTGCGGAAACACCCTTCATTAGACCCCAATGCGATTTTGGACTACAAAAAGCCACCTAAAGCAAGTAATCAACAGTTGGGAGGCCTCAAATGTGGCTTTACGCTGGAAAGAACTTCCAGCTCACAGACAAGCGAAGAATATGATAACTCCGTCGCAAAACAAAACCAAAGATGTTTTATGCCTCAGCAAAGGGGATCTAAGGACGCTCTCAGGTTTCCTGACCGACTAAGCGCCCCTAGAATACCACCTCTTCCACATTGGACAAGCTGAGGATCTAACTTGGCCGCCTAAGACACAACACTTTCCGTAACGCTTTTTAGACAACTATCGACATAAAGGAACAAGACATTGGACCAATACTAAGATTCATTAAGGACCTGCATTTGCCCTAAACTTTTGGAGGGCTTAAGTTACAATAGATCTTATAGGTCGCTGTGACGACAGAGGCCGCTCCCTTCAGTCTGGCAGTAATAATAATAAATATAATGACATCCAAATCAGGAAAACCTCAAAACGAGACCATCTTCTATAAACCAACCCCATTTCTCCCGAGCATATTTAAACTTTTTGAACAACTATTTCTGGAACGTTTAATCGCAATACTAGAAGTAAGCAGGCCTATAATCCTATATCTGTTGTTCACGAGAGATCTAACCCAATCATCTGAAACGGTGACTACCTTTACAGATAATAGTGCACTACTTGCTATGGGTAGAAACACAGAAAAAGCTATCAATATGCCACTTGGCAGTAATTGGCCAAGTATTTAGGCATGGCCTTGGATACTAAATTACGATGGAAAGAGCACGTGAAAATGAAGAAAACAGAACTAGAACTAAAATGTACGACAATGTATTGGCACATGGTTAAACAATATGTGCTGAAAATGCATAATAAATTGCTGATTTATGAGCAACTCATTAAGGTGTATTAAGGGACATTGCATATGTGCCTTGGTATATAAAGAATAGTGACTTCCACAGTGATTTTGGGGTAGCTATGGTGAAGGAAGAATAGTCATCTCAGCATCGCCTGTCATCGCCTGATCTTCTATACCAACACCATTGGTACCTATTAGCGGTACCAATAGTGATATTTTGATGCTTAATATCTTTAGTTCATATTTCCATTCTTGCCATTATTACAAATGATGTGAGGCTTCCCTCAATCTTCAAGTTCTAATATTTTGAAAGATACTATGACAAATTTATAAATAAATTTTATTTGGTTTTTGATATATGATTGAACAATGTTGTCGTAAATCCACTTTTTCTTTTAAACATTTTGTATCAATTATCTTGGTATTTTATAGATCTCCATAAATTTCTTCTACTTTCACTGAATTTCTTAAAATTTTATAGAGGTCTTAAATAAATCAAATAAGTGTGTTCTTGGTAATGGTAAAAACCGCATTCAAGATTTTCTTTTCGTTTTTAAGATTTATAGTTTTAAGCTGAACCCAAATTATTATTTCGCTTTAGTTAAGTATCGAAATAAAGTTTAAGTTACAACTTTATTTCGATAAATATATTTGAGTTAATGTGTCTTGCTGCTTCTAAGACTTCTTACGAATGCTTGGAGTGATGAATGCTTGCTAGTAATTGATAGAATGATGAAAAATCTTGTAAAAAAATACTATCACGTAACTGTGTCTAATTTTATTTAACAACCTTAATAACAAATAATAACGTTTTGATCGCGTTAAGTTAATTCGTCAACTATATCTGGAGAAGCTTGATCATGCAATGATTATATGGAATTAAAACAGTCAAACCGAACAAAATCAACAAACAAAATATAATTCGTAATCGGTTATAACTCAATTATAATTATTACCAACCTAACGGATTTAATGTCCTAAACATTCTAAACCTTTTACATTTAACAATGGTGTATAACTATAAAATTAATGTCGGTGGATAAGAACAATATTAATAAAAATTGTTCATAATATTAAACTCAAAAATAAATCTATAAACCATTTCATTCCAACTATTGCGCATCATTCACGTTTTTAGATAATAGTATTTGTTATAATTTAAAAACTAAAAATGTTCTGGATGAAAATTGTTTGTAATAAACATAATTCCACATCCTATAACTTATAAAACTACTTTATAAAAACAACCCCAAAAATTGGGAATGTAAATCAGTATCTTGTTAACCCTTAACCCGAAACATAGGTCCAGCAGACAGTTTGAATTGTCATAGTGCAGTGTGATGTGAGTAGTAGACTCTAGAAACGAGCAAGTCTATGAAACCAGTTGTTTCAAATTACGGTAAGGAGGTCCTATAGACCAATGTTTCTAGTTCCATATATATACTAAACAAAACTATGGATAAACCAAGCCCTAGTAGACATGATACCCGAATAAATTTGAACGATCCAGATTTTGAAAATAAGGTACACGAAATGTTGGCTAACGGAACAAGTTTATATTCATCGAACAAAGAACCTGATGAAATAGCAGATGATTCGGACCAAGATCCTGATTATATTTTAGAGTATAGTAATGATTAAAGTCAGATGATGATTTCCTGGACATATCCGACGAAGTCATATATTGTGGCAAAAATGGTTTTCAGTGGATGTCGACTGAACCAATAAGAAACACTGAAACCAGATCGCATAACATCATTACTGGTTTACCAGGGCTAACTACAATTGGTAGAAATTTATTAAATAATCCTTCTAAAGAAGAGATTTGGATAATGATATGATACGAATTCTACTGAAATCAAAGCGCTGCTTGGACTCCTTATGTTGTCATCAATTATGAAATCCTCACATGAGGACATATTATCCCTATTTTCCAAAGATTATTTGGGACGGCCCATTTTTAGAACGACAATGTCTGTTAAAAGGTTCGAAATTTTACTCACCAACCTCAGATTTGATAACAGCGTAGATCGGGAAGAACGAAAGAAGTCGAATCCAACATC